GCGGTGGATCGCCTGAGCTCAAGAATTTGAGACCAGCCTGGGCAACATAGTGAAACCCCATCTCTACTAAAATACAAAAAATTAGCCAGGCATGGTGGCGTGTGCCTGTAGTCCCAGCTACTAAGGAGGCTGAGGCATGAGAATCGCTTGAACCTGGGAGGTGAAGGTTGCAGTGAGCCGAGATCCCACCACTGCACTCCGGCCTGGACAATAGAATGAGACTGTCTCCAAAAAAAAAGAAACTAAATGACTTGCTTTTGGTAAGATGGACTAGAAGTTAGGCTCCTGGGCTCCTTTTACTTTATTCTGTCATGAAGGTCAGGGAGAGTGCAACATGAAACAGGCCCTGTGACATGCCATTAGGGACAAGAGGTCTCCGACCGTGGGAAGGAGGAAAGAATTTCTACTCTGACTGGCCAAGATCCCGTGAATTCTGAAGGGTGGAGGGCATTTCTAGATCAGCAGGCAACTAGTAAATTTGACTGAATAAAATAAATGGGGCATCACAATCATAGAGTAAGGCGACATTTGGGGAGTAGTAAATATAAGAGGAATGCATAAGAGGCATTGACTCATTCGCAGTATAAAGTATTATTATTAATAACTTAAAGGAAAAGAAAAGTATATTTTTCTTTTCCTTTTTTTTTTTTTTTTTTTTTTTGAGACAGAGTCTCGCTCTGTTGCCCAGGCTGGAGTGCAGTGGCGATCTCAGTTCACTGCAAGCTCCACCTCCTAGGTTCACGCTATTCTCCTGCCTCAGCCTCCTGAGTAGCTGGGACTGGAACTACAGGCGCCTGCCACCATGCCTGGCTAATTTTTTTTTTGTACTTTTAGTAGAGACGCGGTTTCATCATGTTAACCAGGATGGTCGTGATCTCCTGACCTTGTGATCCACCTGCCTCAGCGTCCCAGGTAGCTGGGATTACAGGTGCGCGCCACCACGCCAGGCTAATTTTTGTATTTTTAGTAGAGATGGGGTTTCACTGTATTGGTCAGGCTGGTCTCGAACTCCTGACCTTGTGATCCGTCTGCCTCAGACTCCCAAAGTGCTGGGATTACAGGCGTGAGCCACCACATCCTGCCAAGAAAGGTATCTTTTTCTAAAAAATTTCTCAGTGCCAATAAAATACTCTCCAAAATCAAAGGCCACTAAACACTCCTCTGCTTTGCCAAAATAAATCATTTTATCTTCAGTTGTAATTTCAACAAAACTGAATTTTTTTTCTTCCACTTCAGGAATAACAGAATACATCAAGAAAATGAAAACAAAACCTTATTTAGGCTGCTGCACCTGTTTTGATTTAAGCTATTATTAATGCTTGTGGAAGAGCTTAACTTTATTAAAAATATTATTCTAGCCAAATACTTGAAATAAAAGCAGTGTGGCAGCCATGTTCAGTGGCTCGTATCTATAATTCCAGCACTTTGGGAGGCTGAGGCTGGAGGATTGCTTGAGCCCAGGAATTTGAGACCAGACTGGGCAATGAAGTGAAATCCCATCTTGACAAAAAAATAAAAAATTTAGCCAGGCACGGTGGTGTGTTCCTATAGTCCCAGGTACGCAGGAGGCTAAGGCAGAAGGGTTGCTTGAGTCCAGGAGGTCGAGGCTGCAGCAAACCATGTTCACCCCACTGTACTGCAGCCTGGGTGACAGAGTGAGACCCTGCCTTTAAAAAAAAAACAAAACCAGGCCGGGCACAGTGGCTCACGCCTGTAATCCCAGCACTTTGGGAGGCCGAGGCTAGTGGATCATGAGTTCAGGAGATCGAGACCATCCTGGCTAACATGATGAAACCCCATCTCTACTAAAAATACAAAAAAATCAGCCGGTCATGGTGGTGGGCACCTGTAGTCCCAGCTACTCGGGAGGCTGAGGCAGGAGAATGGCATGAACCTGGGAGGCAGAGCTTGCAGTGAGCTGAGATCGCACCACTGCACTCCAGCCTGGGTGACAGTCAGACTCTGTCTCAAAAAACAAACAAAATAAAAATAAATAAATAAATAAATAAATAAGCTCTTTTCTCAAAAAAAAAAAAAAAAAATTGTCCGGGCGTGGTAGCATGTGCCTGTAATCCCAGCTACTTGGGAGGCTGAGGTGGGAGAATTGCTTGAACCCGGGAGGTGGAGGTTGCAGTGAGCTGAGATTGCGCCACTGCACTCCAGCCTGGATGACAGAGCGAGACTTTGTCTCAAAAAAAAAAAAAAAAGAAAAAATCAAACCACAGTGTGGTGTGCTTTTTGTCATACAAAATTGGAATCCACATTTCCTAGGTTACAAATGTTGCAGAATAATGAAACCATGCTAGTCTGTTTTTCATGCAGTGAGGTGGAATACATTTTAAAATGATGAAGAATCTCATCCCTGTGTTAATAATCTGCAAATATGTGATATGTCAAGCAATTCCAGAGAGAACCCAGCCATGTTAATGACATTTTTAAAACTACCACACAATTAATTCTGCATTAGTGGACGCTGACTAAAGTTTCCGATTGCTGCTTTAATTGTTAAAAGTTAGACTAGTTGGCCCAACACAGAGATCTTGCTTAAGTGTTCAACTTGGAAGTACTTAGAGAGAAAATGGAAATTTTTATAGGGCACCTAATTTGGGGCATGTTGCAATGTCAACTACGATGTTTTAATGTGTTTTTAATTCAGTTGAGCTGTAAATGTGCAAAGTTGGCTAACAATCATAAGCCCAAGTTGTCTGATGTAATCACATGATGCTGAGCCCTGCTAAGACCTGTGTGATATCAAATGATTCCCTTGGCAGTGTTTGTTGGAGTAATTAGTGTCAGCAATGAATGAATACTGAATTCAGAGAGAGATAATGTAACTGCATGTGTAAAGGATATACAGATTTTAACCAACATTTATTGTAGAAAAGCAAGTTTTCAAAGTTGCAGTTTTCTTACTGGTGGGTGGTTTTGTTTTTTTTTTTGAGACAGAGTCTTGCCCTGTCACTCAGACTAGAGCGCAGTGGTACAATCACAGCTCATTGCAGCCTCAACCTCCTGGGCTCAAGCAATCCTCCCATCTTAGCCTCCCAAATAGCTGGGACTACAGACATGCACCACCATGCCCAGCTAATTTTTAAATTTTTGTAGAGACAGAGTCTCCCTGTGTTTTCCAGGCTGTTCTCAAACTCCTGCGCTCAAGCAGTCTTCCTGTCTTTGTCTCCCAAAGTGCTGGGATTACAGGCGTGAAACATTGTGCCCAGCAAGGTTATTTTTGAAAAACAAAGACATACATTTTAAAATAGCAAAGGAGACCACGAATGAGATGTCTTCTCTGAAGGCCAGGCCGTCCAGTGCTGATCTTGTTGTGGGAGATCCTCCACGCATCCAAAGAGGACAGATTTTTTTGGAAAACCTTTCGGTAGCTGTTTGCACACAACTGTATTACTGTCAATTAAAATGAAAAGACTGGGTTGGTGGAGGTGGAGTCCTTCCCAGCATCTCTTGGTGAATCAGAGCTGTGAAGCTTATTCTTCTTAGAAGTTGATGCAAGGGGCCGGGCGCGGTGGCTCATGCCTGTAATCTCAGCACTTTGGGAGGCCGAGACGGGTGGATCATGAGGTCAGGAGATCGAGACCATCCTGGCTAACACGGTGAAACCCCGTCTCTACTAAAAAATGCAAAAAACTAGCCGGGCGCGTTGGCGGGCGCCTGTAGTCCCAGCTACTCGGGAGGCTGAGGCAGGAGAATGTAAACCCGGGAGGCGGAGCTCGCAGTGAGCTGAGATCCGGCCACTGCACTCCAGCCTGGGCGACAGAGCGAGACTCCGTCTCAAAAAAAAAAAAAAGAAGTTGATGCAAGGATTTGGTGGGAGAACTGGATAAATTAGTTTTAATCTAAAAGCCTTGATACTAACAGGATGTAGGGGAAAATATAAACTTCTAGGACTTAGGAGACCTGTGCAGCCATCTTGGGTGCCTCACTAGCTCTTCCTGTGTTGAAGGATAGGTGAAATTATTGCCATAACCACCTCAGAAGTCCATTTGAAAATCTTAGGCTGGGTGTAGTGGCTCACGCCTGTAATCCCAGCACTTTGGGAGGCAGAGGCGGGCGGATCACGAGGTCAGGAGATCGAGACCATCCTGGCTAACATGGTGAAACCCAGTCTCTACTAAAAATACAAAAAATTAGCCAGGCGCACTGGCAAGCACCTGTAATCCCAGCTACTCGGGAAGCTGAGGCAGGAGAATCGCTTGAACCAGGAGGCGGAGGTTGCAGTGAGCCGAGATCGCGCCACTGCACTCCAGCCTGGGCGACAGAGCGAGACTCCATCTCAAAAAAAAAAAAAAGAAAAGAAAATCTTGGCTAGGCGTGGTGGCTGACGCCTATAATCCTAGCACTTTGAGAGGCCTAGGCAGGCAGATAATTTGCAGTCAGGAGTTTGAGACCAGTCTGGCCAACGTGATGAAACCCATCTCTACTAAAAATATAAAAATTAGCTGGGCATGGTGGCACATGCCTGTAATCCCAGCTACTTAGGAGGCTAAGGTGAGAGAGCACTTGAACCCAGGAGGCAGAGGCTGCAGTGAGCCGAGTTCATGCTACTGCACTCCAGCCTGGGCCAAAGAGCAAGACTCCATCAAAAAAAAAAAAAATTCAAAATCTTCATTGGAAATGCTTTGAAAATCTGAAACAACACTACAAATACATTGTAGTTGTTAATAGTACCATCAGATCAGTTATGGCCAAATCTATATTTTGCTGTGGTATTATATTGAAGAGTTTAATCTGAATTTAATTTTATAGCCACAGAAAATAATCTGTAGTTTAGTGCATTGGGAATCCTTTTTTTTTTTTTTTTAATTGGTCTAGGTGAAGCCAGTTAATCCTAATTCTTCTTTTCTCAGTACTGGTGTGTTTCAGTAGGTACATGTTATAACCTCACTTGCTTATCAGATGAATTGACCCTGGCAGTGAGTGAGTGACAGATGCCACCACCAGACTGCCCTCAATTCCAGTGTTAACCTGCTCTTCTTCTTTTCCAGTCCCACGCCTTTGACATCTCATCCTTCAGTCCCTTTGCTGTAAAGGCAACTTGAACAAGCTTCAGCCCTTTCTCAGACTTCCAGGGCAGGACCTGAATGGATTTTACCCTGGAATTGTTCCTGATGCAGCCTTGTTCAGTTCTTGCTGCTGCCATGCTGGATTCCAAAGATCCACTCTTTCCTCGACTGGTCTCACAGGGTCAGGCCCATCGATTAAAGCTTGTTGTGTATTTGGTCGGGAGGTTCAAAATGAAGGAGGGACTCCAGTCCACTTTGGGCATTGGACCTGGAGGCAAAAAATCAGCGTTCAGTCTAAAAGCACTAAGTGCCCATTGTTTAGGCAGCTGTTAATCAGCCACGTTTCTATGAAAATAAGTCCTTTTCATGAGGCAATTGTGTGGGAATAGCTAATTCTGGCCTGATGCTGTGCAGTGTGAGGTTAAAAACATGGCAACTTGTCACAACACAATTCTTCTTGTTCTTTTTGCTGTGGGCTGACTCTACATTACTTGCTTTGTTTGCTCTAGAATGGAATCTACTCACCATTTACTAAAATGAAATGCATTTCTTTGGGGAGGCAAAGTCCAGTTCACTAGGTCTTGCATCTTAAAGAGAAAGGAGCCCTGCTTCCTCTTTGACTAATTGTTAGGAATGTCGTTTAGCTTATTTAAATACCGATTTTGGTTCTGGGGTTAAATATTATATGCCGGGGGTCTTAGTTTAAACAAATTTATACGTATTGTCTATGTCTTACATATATTGTCCATGTCTTATTCCTCGTAGTACAGATTGATTTTCAAAATAGTTAGCAGTAAGTGGAGGCAAGCATTAGAGAGAAAGCTTGGCATAGTAGAAAGTGCACAAGCTTTGTATTCTGACAAATGTGGGTAACGTCCTGACCTGACCTCAGGCAAGTTATTTAACCCCCAGGCCTTATTTCCTCCTTTGAAAAATGGGAATAATGATGTTCACCAGACTCTGTTTTATAGAGGATTATGTATGGAAAGTACCTGGCCTCAGTAATTATTAGTAACCATCCACCAAAATAATCCTTTGCATTTTTTCTAGAAGCCAGTCCTGAACTCCCCGACCTCCATAGGGGTAGTGTTTCAGGAAAGAGGAGGCTAGGGGCACCTTTCAGCAGCCCTGTACATTATTTCACTTTTGATTAACAGGCTTTATACTGCTGACAGTGTCTCCCCAGGTACCTAGATGTCTTGGTTTTCCTCAGAGATTTGCATATTCTTAGCCACTAGCCAACTGAAGAAGAGGCTAGATCTCTGCTAGAGTTTGGGCCTAATGTCTTATTTTGGAATTTGCTACTCCATTTCTTCACAGCAGTTTGACTAATTGAAATCCAGTTTAAGCAAGTCCTTTGTTCGAATCCCTTAGCATGTCTGCTGTTAAAGGATAGGCTCTTCAAAGTTTTTATAAGCACTTCGCTTAATTTAGAGTTACAGGGTGGTGTATATACTGTGTAGTAGGATTTCAGTTGGTCCTTTAAATCTTGGAATTGGGGGATCTTTCTTGAAGATTTTTAATAGCAGATGGCCTCTTTTCAGCATCGTGATAGTTGGTATAAACAGTTACTCAAGCAGATTTATATCCATCACATTTCAAATTTGTCAGCATTTATAGGTCATTCCCATTTTCCTTCTCCTTTCTTCTAGCAGCCTTTTCATATTAGTAGGGCTTGCCAGGACAGTGATGGAGAAGAATGGAGAGGGAGGATCACCTCAATAAAAGGAGGGTGGCTTTGCTAGTTTGTAGTTTAAAATACATAAGTAAATCACAAATCTCCCTAATGCAGATAACCATAGACTCAAGCTGTAAATTGCTATACCATCGCCAGGGTTTAAGAACTAGGACATTTGCCCCCACGTCAAGAAAGATGCTTTCTTTCCCGTTGAAACAGGATCATAACAAAAATGATCAGGTACTTAGTTAATGTTGCAGTAATCATTTCAGTAAAGAATTATCTTTATCACTTGAGAGTGGAGTGATTTTGAGTATCTTGATAGAGGTTAAAACATTGTTGGTCATGTCTGATTTGATTCTAGGTACTTGCTCAGGAATCTAATTCCCCAATTATATAACATTGTTCCTTTAGGAAAGTGTGCTTTGTCTAATGGCATAGTTTCAAAAAATAGATCTTAGAGGTAGGGAAAAAATTCTGCTATAACCCAGTTGTTGAATATATAAGGTACTGGAGGGAGTGCAAAGGGGGCAGCAAGTACCCACATAGATGTGATGGGAGGAGGGAACACCAGTAGATGGGTGTTCCTTATAGTATGGCACTGGCAGCCTATACCTCATATATCCCTGTCATCGATGGTCTTAGTCTCTGCTGTCACTCAACTCTGTTGCTGTCTTAAACACCAACATGCTATGCTTTTAACTCTTTTGCCACCTGCCTTTGCTCTGCTTGTTCTTTCAGTGACAAATGCATGAGCCACTTTTCAGGAGATGAAATTATTAAAACTCTTGAGGATATGACCTATTTCACATTGAGAAATAAGTTACCCCTGAATGGAGTAACCTTTTTCCTGTAAGTTTGCAAAAGAGGCAGCAGTTGTGACACTGTGGAAGGAGAAAGAAAAATTCCTTGCCCTGAGGGAATGTCTAAATTTGTCTGTCCTGCGGGAGGATGACTATAGGCAGAAATAGTGAGGTGAGGCAAGAACGTTAAGAGGGGTTTTCTTGATTTAGTTTGAATGTATCTAACTGACAAAAAGGAGCATCTGAAGAACTTGGATTCTTTCATTGGCACCTCCTTTTGGTCCATTAGCCTATTGAACAAATCTATAAATTCCTTCAAGTATCACACTAACTTTCAGCTCAATGTGCTGCGGGCTCTAGACCAAAGATTGCTCCTATAAGATTACAGAGGTTATTCCCTTTGTACAGTAACATAATTATTTTTCTCTTTCATTTTCAGGGAAGCAGAGACTTTCAAGGAACAAGGAAATGCATACTATGCCAAGAAAGATTACAATGAAGCTTATAATTATTATACAAAAGCCATAGGTGAGAAAGACTTGATACTTATGCTAGAAAACATTTACTTGCCAAATATTATTAAAAGTAGCTGCCAGTCGTGGTGGCTCACGCCTGTAATCCCAGCACTTTGGGAGGCCGAAGCAGGCAGATCACTTTAGATCAGGAGTTTGAGACCAGTCTGACCAACATGATGAAACCCTGTCTCTACTAAAAATACAAAAATTAACTGGGCCTGGTGGCAGGCACCTGTAATCCCAGCTACTTGGGAGGCTGAGGCAGGAGAATTGCCCAAACTTGGGAAGTGGAGGTTGCAGTGAGCCAAGACTGTGCCACTGCACTCCAGCCTGGGCAACAAAGCAAGACTTCATCTCAAAAAGATAAAAAAAATAGGCCAGACACGGTGGCTCACGCCTATAATCCCAGCACTTTGGGAGGCCAAGGTGGGGCGAATCACCAAAAGTCAGGAGTTCGAGACCAGCCTGGCTAACATGGTGAAATCCCATCTCTACAAAATACAAAAATTAGCTGGGCGTGGTGGCGCGTGCCTGTAATCCCAGCTACTAGGGAGTCTGAGGCAGGAGAATTGCTTGAACCCGGCAAGGTGGAGGTTGCAGTGAGCCAAGATTGCGCCATTGCACTCCAGCCTGGGGGACGACCAAAGAACTCCATCTCAAAAATTAAAAAATAAAAAAAGTAGCTTCTCTCTGAGAAGTAGCCTTTTGCCTAATGGGTTGATAACTATTACTGTATGAACTCCTTCAGGCTTGATTTCATGAATGGGCCGGACGTGGTGACTCACGCCTATAATCCCAGCATTTTGGGAGGCCGAGGCTGTCGGATCACCTGAGATCAGTTCTTCTCCTCTAATTTGCTTACTCCAACTCAACATGCACATTTCTTTTCAGCCTGGTGAACATGGTGAAACCCCGTCTCTACTAAAAATACAAAAATTAGCTAGGTGTGGCGGGTGCTTGTAATCCCAGCTACTGGGGAGGCTGGGGCAGGAGAATTGCTTGAACCTTGGAGGCAGAAGCTGTAGTGAGCTGAGATCATACCACTGCACTCCAGCGTGGGCAACGAGAGCGAATCTCCATCTCAAAAAAAAAAAAAAATCTCATGAATGATAACTTTTTTCTTTTTCTTTTTCTTTTTAACTCTTTAAATTTTTAAAATAGAGACAGGGTCTTACCGTGTTGCCCCGGGTGGTCTCAAACTCCTGGACTCAAGCGATCCTCCTGCCTTGGCCTCCCAAAGTGCTGGAATTACAGGCATGAGCCACCACGCCTAGATGTGATAACTTCTAACTGGGGTGGGTAGTTTTTCTTTTGACAAATTAAAAGCAATTCCAGAAACAGTACCCACCTAAATGCATTTCAGCCATTGCCATTTCATTTACTACCTCAGAAAATGGCCTTTGTACAAAAAAAGAAGTCTTAGTTATCTCCATGTTTAATTTGCCAGCATATTTTAATCCCATGTCAGCATTCTTCTCACCTAATTTGCTTACCCAAACTCAACACGCACATTTCATTTTAATGTCTCATTGTACAAAACACAGTTCATTAAGATTAATAAGCTGCCTCTCCCCTCAAAAGATAATCACTGCGCTTTAAAGCTGTACCTTGTTTTGTTTTAAAACTGATTTTATCATTGCTGCTGTCCATTTGCACAAGCAGTCAGAAATTTGGAATGTAGACTTTTATGTATTTTGGGGACAGTGTCATTGTCACCCAGGCTGGAGTGTAGTGGCACAATCTCGGCTCACTGCCAGCTTCATCTCCTAGTTTCAAGTGATTTTCATGCCTTAGCCACCTGAGTAGCTGGAATTATAGGTGTGTGCCACTATGCTCGGCTAATTTTTTTGTATTTTAGCAGAGATAGCGTTTTGCCATGTTGGCCAGGCTGATCTCAAACTCCTGACCCCAAGTGATCTGCCCACCTCGGCCTCCCAAAGTGCTGAGATTATAGGTGTGAGCCACCGTGCTGGCTGTGGCGTTCTGAAGAGTGTGTCAGGGCTGGGTGCAGTGGCTCACTCCTGTAATCCCAGCCCTTTGGGAGACTGAGGTAGGTGGATCACTTGAGGCCAGGAGTTCAAGACCAGCCTGGCCAACATGACAAAACCCCATCTCAACAAAAAATACAAAAAAAGCTGGATGTGGTGGCGTGTGTCTGTGGTCCCAGCTACTCAGGAGGCTGAAGTAGGAAGATGTCTTGAGCCCAGGAGGCGGAGGATGCAGTGAGCAGAGATCATGCCACTGTACTCCAGCATGGTCAACAGAGCCAGACTGTGCCTCAAATAATAAATAAAAATACAAAAATTAGCCAGGTGTGGTGGCGCATGCCTGTAATCCCAGCTGCTTGGCTACTTGGCACGCTAAGGCACGAGAATCACTTGAACCCAGGAGGCAGAGGTTACAGTAAGCCGAGATAGCACCACAGCACTCTAGCCTGTGCAACCGAGTGAGACCCTGTCTCCACGAAGAAAATAGAGTTTATCAGCATTACAGATAGATTCCCTTAACATTGGTTGGAGGGAGATGGCCTCCAAGTTTTTTGGTTTTTTGTTTGTTTGAGACAGGGTCTTCCTCTGTTGCCCAGGCTGGAGTGCAGTGGTGTGCTCTTGGATCACTGCAACCTCCACCTCCCAAATGCAAGCAGTTCTCATGCTTCAGCCTCCTGAGTAGCTGAAATTACAGGTGACCGCCACCTCGCCCAGCTTTTTTTTTTTGTATTTTTTAGTAGAGACTTTGTATTTTAGTACAGATGGGGTTGTGCCATGTTGACTAGGCTGGTCTTGAACTCCTGACCTCAAGTGGTCCGCCCTTCTTGGCCTCCCAAAGTGTTGGGATTATGGGCATGAGCCACTGCGCCCAGCCCCCTCTAAGTTTTCAAAGCAGGAACCTGTTCTAAACTTTGTTTTACCATTCTTCTGCCTTTCCTGTAGATATGTGTCCTAAAAATGCCAGCTATTATGGTAATCGAGCAGCCACCTTGATGATGCTTGGAAGGTTCCGGGAAGCTCTTGGAGATGCACAACAGTCAGTGAGGTTGGATGACAGTTTTGTCCGGGTATGTATGTAATGAGGCTGTCTGGGGAAGGCTGGGTTGCTACAGCTGAGTTTTTCTAGCCCAGTGTTTCTCAACCCTGACACTACTGACATTTGGGACCAGATTATTCTTTGTTGTGGGGGACTATACTGTGCACTGTGGGTTGTTTAGCGTCATCTCTGACTTTTAATCACTGGGTATGAGTAGCATCCCCTCTGCGCAATTGTAACAACCAAAAATGTCTCCTAACATTGCCAAATGTCCCCTGGAGGTCAAATTGCCCAGGTTGGGAACTGCTGTAGTCATTTTCATTCTGTATTAGTTTTGTTTGTTTGTTTTTGTTTTTGAGATGGAGTCTCGCTCTGTCGCCCAGGCTGGAGTGCAATGGCGTGATCTCAGCTCACTGCTACTTCAGTCTGCCAGGTTCAAGCAATTCTCCTGCCTCAGCCTCCAGAGTAGCTGGGACCACAGGCATATGCCACCACACCTGGCTAATTTTTGTATTTTTAGTAGAGATGGAGTTTCACCGTGTTGGCCAGGCTGGTCTCGAACTCCTGACCTCGAGTGATCCACATGCCTCAGCCTCCCAAAGTGCTGGGATTACAGGTGTGAGCCACTGCGCCCAGCCTCTGTGTTTTTTTCGTGTGGGTGTTTGTTGCTGCTGTTGATTTCTTTCCACTTGGCCAATCATCCTGCTTTTCTTCCCCCTTGGTATTCTTTTAGGGACATCTACGAGAGGGCAAGTGCCATCTCTCTCTAGGAAATGCCATGGCAGCATGTCGCAGCTTCCAGAGAGCCCTAGAACTGGATCATAAAAATGCTCAGGCACAACAAGAGGTACGGGTCTGATGCTGTTTCTATCAAAAGAAGCAGTATGGTATATTTGGGAGGAGTGGCTACTTGAAAGTCAGAACTGAGGTCTGGTCTCACTTCTGCCATCAGCACACCTGGGTGACTTTAGGCGAGCTTCATAGTGTCTCTAAGTCTTAGCTTCCTAATCTGTAAAATGAGTTTTGAATATGATTGACAGCTTTTAAAAATCTGTGAAAATTGAAGCGTTTCTGAGATGGCTGGGGAATAGGCAAATACTTTCAGGGACTGATTTGAGTGAGGTTAAAGAATTTAAGAGTTTGGGACTTCAAGAGTCTGGAACTTAGTGAGACCCTGTCTCCACAAAAAAAATTTTTTAATTAGCCAGGCCTGGTGCCATGCACCTGTGATCCCAGTCACTCAGGAGGCTTAAGTGGGAGGACTGCTTGTGCTCAGAAGATTGAAGCTGAGCCATGATCGCACCACTGCACTGTAGCCTAGGCAACAGAGCAAGAACTTGTCTCAAAAAAAATAAAAATAAAAAAGAATTTGAGTAAATTCAAGCCCTGATGAAATTAGTAGCAGCTAAAACATGTTTTAATTACATTTCCATATACAGTATGTGTCGCTTAATGACAGGCATACATTTTGTTAGGTGATTTTGTCACTGTGTAGACACCATAAAGTATACTTACATAAACCTGGGTGGCGTAGCCTGCCACACACCTAGGCTATATGGCAGTAGCTTCTGGACTACAAACCTTTATAGCGTGAATATTGTAGGCAGCTATAACACAGTGGTGTTTGTGTAAACAGAAAAGGTACAGTAAAAATACGGTATTATAATCTTACAGGAGCACTGCCATATATACAGTTCATTGTTGACCAGAGCATATGACTGTATGTACAGTTTACCCTAGATGCATTTCAGTGAGAATCTCAAAACGTATACTCAATACCTGGCAATGCATTGCCTTTATTTTATGTATATCAAGCATGATACTTGTGTTCCTGACTTGAAGTTCAAACTGAGGGTGAAGTTTGGGTCTAGCCCTTCTGTTAAGGAGTCTTGACTGTATCTTCATCAGTTTGGTTTGTGAAATGTCGGTGGTTCTGATTTTCTTGAAAGAAAATCTTCTAGAGACATCTGTGAGAGGGCAAGTGCCACCTCTCTCTAGGGAATGCCATGGCAGCCTGTCACAGTTGCCAGAGAGCCCTAGAACTGGATCATATAAGTGACCACTCAAAACAGGAGGTATGAGTCTGACCCTGTCTCTATCAAAAGAGGCAGTGTGGTATATTTACTCAATTCAAATTCATCAACGCCTTGTTAATTTTTTTGTGGTGGTTTAATCTACAGCTTCATTAAAACTTTCCTATGTCTGATTTTCTGGTGTAGTTCAAGAATGCTAATGCAGTCATGGAATATGAGAAAATAGCAGAAACAGATTTTGAGAAGCGAGATTTTCGGAAGGTACAGTACAACCATGAGATAATCTCGTCTGCCCTTTGTCACAAAATTCCCATTCGTGTGTGTGTATGATAATTAAGAGGAGTAGTATGGCACAAAAGATCTGGAATAGTAAATTATCACTTAAATTAGGCTTCTGAGTTTTCCTCTTAAAAATGTTTTGTGCTAAGGTACTTATTAATTATATTTGGCCCTATAATGAAAGGTAAAATAAGTGTGCCACTTGAGTTTGTTTCTATTGTTGATGTAAAGCACTGGCCAATGGTGTACTGCTTAATAAAGGGAAAGCCAGCTGGAATTAAATATTAGGTTTGGATAATCTTTTTTTTTTTTGAGACCTAGTCTCACTCTGTCGCCCAGGCTGGAGCACAGTGGCCAACTGCAAATCTCCACCTCCCGGGTTCAAGCGATTCAAGTGATTCTCCTGTCTCAGCCACCTTGGGATTACAGGTGCATGCAACCACACCCGGCTAATTTTTGTAGTTTTTTTTTTTTTTTTTTTTTTTTTTTTGAGATGGAGTTTCGCTCTGTCTCCCAGGCTGGAGTGCAGTGGTGTAATCTTGGCTCACTGCAACCTCCACATCCCAAGTTCAAGCGATTCTCCTGCCTCAACCTCCTGAGTAGCTGGGATTATAGGCACGTGCCACCACGCCCAGCTAATTTTTGTATTTTTAGTAGAGACAGGGTTTCACCATGTTGGTCAGACTGGTCTCAAACTCCTGACCTCCTGATCTGCCCGCCTCAGCTCCCAGAGTGCTGGGATTACAGGCATGAGCCACCACGCCTGGCCTTTTTTTTTTTATTATTATTTTTATTTTTTATTTTTAAGTGGAGACAGAGTTTTACCATGTTGGCCAGACTGGTCTCAAACTCCTGAGCTCAACTGATCCTCTGGCCTCAGCCTCCCACAGTGCTGGATTACAGGTGTGAGCTACCACACCTGGCCCTGGATAATCCATTTTTATTTGAATAATAAGAGCTGGCTTTAACTTCTTTTAAATCAGAAATAAGGAGCTGGGCAATGCCATGCCTATAGCCCAGCTACTTGGGAGGCTGAGGCAGTAGGATTGCTTGAGGCCAGGAGTTCTGGGCTATAGTGCACGATGCTGATTGGGTGTCTACATTAAGTTTGGCATAAATATGGTGACCTCCTGGGACCAGGGAACCACCAGGTTGCTTACAGAGGGGTGAGCTGCCCCAGGTTGGAAACAAAGCAAATTAGAACTCCCATACTGATCAGTAGTGGGATTGAGCCTGTGGAAAAACCCCTGCACTCCTGCCTGGGCAACATAATGAAGCCTTGTCTCTTAAAAAAAAAAAAAGAACAAAAATGGGAGAGGCCCCTTTTACATTTTTGAATAGTGTGCTTAACCTGTCGTCCCCTCCTTTTTGGCATTAGACTGTCTTTAGATGTTAGACTGTGCAGTAGTTCTTGAAAATTTACATGTCAAAGGGGTAGACATCTGAAATGTGAGAAAGGTATAAAAGTTCTAGATACCTTTCTTTCTCTCTTTTTTTTTAGATGGAGTTTCGCTCTTGTTGCCCAGGCTGGAGTGCAGTGGCGCGATCTTGGCTCACTGCAACCTCTGCCTCCCAGGTTCAAGCGATTCTCCTGCCTCAGTCTCCCGAGTAGCTGGGATTACAGGCGTGCACCACCATGCCCGGCTAATTTTGTATTTTTTTAGTAGAGATGGGGTTTCTCCATGTTGGTCAGGCTGGTCTCGTACTCCCAACCTCAGGTGATCCACCCGCCTTGGCCTCCCAAAGTGCTGGGATTACAGGCGTGAGCCACTGCGCCTGGCCAAAAGTTCTAGGTATCTTTCTAGACCTCGCAGTTATTATACTTTACCTGTATAACTCCTTTCTTCTTTAGATGGTGCTTGGATACAGTTTTCACTTGAGTTTCTAAAAGGGAGGTAGATAACCCCCAAAAGGTTAATAACCACTGATCAGGAGAGATTTTCTGCATCACTTAAGTTTGTGACTACTGTCCAAAGAACAAAGTTGTCACTTCATATGTGGGAATTTGCTCAGTGCTTTTTGGAGCATGTGCTCAGTAAATGTTTGATAAGCAGGTACATTAAGAATCATTCACATACACTGATGGTCTTTTATTTGGTAATGTATATATCTGATTAGCTTCTGCACAGTCCCAGCAGTAACTTATTAGCATCCCTCTTCTGTCCATTGGTTTTAATAACCACAGTTGTCTTTGTAGTGTAATTCGTAAGTTTGTTTTGTTTGGCGTGTGTGTGTTTGGAAAGCAGTTCTGCCTACTGTCACGTTTTCTGAGGTTTACATAGGCAAAAGCTTTGTCTTGAGAGGCAGTCTTTTGGGTTTCTTTTCTCTCTTGCCTACTCTGGAGCCAGAATCCTGAGTTTGTGACAGAATCCTCTGTTTGTGACATCCCAGCCCCCCTCACTGTAGCTCATGGTGATGTCACAAATGAAGAATTATGATCCTGGCAGGGGAAACAGATGAACTTGGAAGAAACAAAAGATCTTCTTTGCCTGCAGCTGTCCCTAGTCATGGGGAGGTGGGGGTGGGAAGTGAGGCGCTGATGAGCCCCATGATGAGCAGGACCAGCTCTGCACAAAACGGGGTCCTTGTGAAGGCAGTGGGGTGTGGCTGCTGACATTTTGACTGACTTCTTCCTGCCCCCTCATTCCTTTTCCATCTGAGGGGGGCAGGACAGTTAGCCCAACTCTACCTGTGTAATGCTTAAGTTTTCATATTGTCCTTAGAACTTTCAGGACATGTCGAGCGTGGTGGCTCATGTCTGTAATCCCAGCACTTTGGGAGGCCAAGGCGGGCGGATCACTTGAGGTCGGGAGTACGAGACCAGCCTGACCAACATGGAGAAATCCTATCTTTACTAAAAATACAAAAAATTAGCCAGGCATGGTGGTGCATGTCTATAATCCCAGCTACTCCGGGGGCGAAGGCAGGGAAATTGCTTGAATCCGGGAGGCAGAGGTTGCAGTGAGCCGAGATCATGCCATTGCACTGCAGCCGGGGCAACAAGAACGAAACTCCGTCTCAAAAAAAAAAAACAAACTTTCAGGACAGTACCTGTGCCACTGAAGGAGAGGCATTCCTGTCACTGCTGTGTGACACTGCAGAAAGTCTTCTCAGTGAACAGCTGGTAAGCTGGTAGTGTTTACTGACTTGCTCATATTTTAAATTTCAGTTTTAGAATCGGTGCTATTCATGGTTCAAAAACTAGGAAGTATTGCCAGGTGCAGTGGCTCATGCCTGTAATCCCAGCACTTTGTGAGGCCAAGGCAGGAGGATCACTTGAGGCCAGGAGTTTGAGACCAGCCTGGGCAACTTATTGAGACCCTGTCTCTACAGATAGTTTTAAAAATTAGCTGAGTGTGGTGACGTGTGCCTGCAGTCCAAACTACTCGTGAGGCTGAGGCAGGAGAATCACTGGAGCCTGGGAGGTCTAGGCTGCAGTGAGCCATGATTGTGCCACTAATACTCCAGCCTGAACGGCAGAGCAAGACCCCATCTCAAAAACAAAAACAAACAAAAGTTAGAAAGTATGAAAAATATTCAGTGATTAGTGTCCCCTCAAACTTGTCCTCTCTTTGCCCAGTTCTCAGCCCCCTAAGCTAACCACTGTTCTTATGTCTTCTGTTTTCTTCTGTAGTTTTGTTGTACATATATAAAATAAAGATCCTGGATTTTCTACCTTTACCTGGCATGAAAGATGTATGCTTTTTGGCAGTTCTGCACCTTTAAAAAAAATTACTGAATAGGTCTTGGAACTCTTTCCATATTAGTACATGAAGAGCTTCTTTATTTTATTTTAGAACTACATGGTATTCCATTATATGAATGTCCACATTATCTAACCAGTCTCCTGTTGATGGAATTTGAATTTTTCTGCTTGTAAGTTTTCAGAGTTTATCTCTTCTTGATCCCCATGGCCAGATTCTTAGAGGGGATAGGTGTCCTTTAATTCCACATTTCTCCTTTGGTTCATTTATTCTTGGAGTGAATGTGATTCAGCAAGGCTCTCCCAGGAATAAATAGTAGCTAAACCAAAACTGAAAGCTCAGAGGACAAACTAGTAAAAAGATGCTTTATGAGGCTGAAAGAGTAAATTAATCACCACCTTTTTGTGTGTGTGAGAGCTTCTTGGCTTGTGGTTTGTATAGTGGCATGCTGGGAATAGTAATCTGATATAGCCTATTTAGAGCCATTTAAAATAACTATTTTAAGGCCGGGTGTGATGGCTCATGCCTGTAATCTCAGCACTTTGGGAGGCCGAGGAGGGCAGATCACGAGGTCAGGAGATCAAGACCATCCTGGTTAACATGGTGAAACCCTGTCTTTACTAAAAATACAAAAAAAAATCAGCTCGACACGGTGGCGGGCGCCTGTAGTCCCAGCTGCTCGGGAGGCTGAGGCAGGAGAATGGTGTGAACCCGGGAAGCGGAGATTGCAGTGAGCCGAGATCGTGCCACTGCACTCCAGCCTGGGCAACAGAGCGAGACTCTGTCTCAAAAAAAAAAGTTATAATATTGCCTATTTCATAAATTGTTGTTGTGAGGATTAAATGGGTTCATATACAAAGGCACCCAGTAAATGTTCACTATCCTCATTATCCTCTGGAATCTTTGCTCTCCTCATTTCAGTGCGTTTATTTAATGAATTAGGTATGTTTTTAAACTTTGATATTACTTAACAGTGGACCCAAAGACTTCTTTGAGCTTTGAGTCTGTTTCCTGTGACTAAACTGAAGATGTTTCTGGAGTCCCTGATGAAGAGCCTTATTTGTTTTCTTCTTCCCCACAGGTTGTTTTCTGCATGGACCGTGCCCTAGAATTTGCCCCTGCCTGCCATCGCTTCAAAATCCTCAAGGCAGAATGTTTAGCAATGCTGGGTCGTTATCCAGAAGCACAGTCTGTGGCTAGGTATGCAGTCAGGCCAGTTGGGCATTAAAATGCCAGATACCATTGGTCTGATGGTGTCCGGCAGCTTCACCACAGGATATGGTCCCCAGAGCAGGCCAGCTAGGGCTGATGAGACCCTCTTAAGACTTAAAGTCAAAGATTAGACCAGCTTTGAAAACCCATAGGGTATACAAGAGTATAGTAGTATAGCAGGTACTTGAGCTATATACGAAAGAACAGATTGTGTTACGTGAGTTTTTTGTGGTTTTTGTTTGTTTGTTTAAGGTAGTCCTTTTCCTTCTACTCCACTGGTTGGCAAACTTTCTGCAAAGGGCTAGATTTTAGCCTTTGCAGGCCACAGGGTCTCTGTTGCAACTAACTCAACTCTGCCATTGCAGTGCAAAGGCTGCCCTAGATAATAGATGAACCAATAGATGTGGCTGTTTCAATAGAGTTTTATTTACAAAAACCAGTGGCAGAAAGGATTTGGCCCTGTGGGCTGTAGTTTGCCAAACCCTGTTCTAGTTTAATGAGGATTGTAAGACACAAGATGTGTGTTAAAGATAATTATAGGTGGTTTATTTGGGGAAAGTTTGGGAACAGTTCTTGGGAATCTGTCTACCTTTGGATATTTTGAATGCTAGACACATGGTCAAGGAAAAAAACTGGCCACAAATGGTAGTAATAGTGGGGACATTCTAAAGCACAGCTCAATGTGCCCTTTTCTGACTATTGCAGTGACATTCTACGAATGGATTCTACCAATGCAGATGCTCTATATGTACGAGGTCTTTGCCTTTATTATGAAGATTGTATTGAGAAGGCAGTTCAGTTTTTCGTACAGGCTCTCAGGATGGCTCCTGACCATGAGAAAGCCTGCATTGCCTGCAGAGTAAGTTCTAGTCACCAGACCTAACTGGGAAAGAAAGCTTCCTTTTGGGACCTTTAAGATGGCTAGAGGGGAAGGTTTTAGAATCACAGGGAATGTCATAGCCTTTCCTCCTGCTTTGCAAGCATGCTTGGTCTTTATTAGAAATGGTTTTAGGACTACTTTTATCTACCTAAAGGTAAATTTGATCATATAGGGTCAGATGCCTTTAATATCTAAGAAGGTTTTGTTTTGTTTTTCCCCTCAGTGAAGATAGATAGTAATACTTGCCCCGGGAAGTGGAGGCAGACCCAGTAACATAGGTCTTTTTGGTAACTCTTGGTTTCTCCTGTCCAGTCTGTAGAAAGCTCAAATGAGCAACAGATAGCCCAGATTGGGGGTTGGCGGGGCTCTGTGATGCTAAACTACCATAAGCCAAGAACTTGAAAATAGACTCCGGCTTCTCTGTGCAGTGGTCTGAGGCTTTGTGGATATGAACCGATCTTCCCCGTGCTTTTTTCTGTAGAATGCCAAAGCACTCAAAGCAAAGAAAGAAGATGGGAATAAAGCATTTAAGGAAGGAAATTACAAACTAGCATATGAACTGTACACAGAAGCCCTGGGGATAGACCCCAACAATATAAAAACAAATGCTAAACTCTACTGTAATCGGGGTACGGTTAATTCCAAGGTAAGCTCTTGATCTACATCTTGGGGCCTATAGATATATTTTTAAAGGACATCAAAGGGTCTTGGTAAATCTGCCCAATTAAGGTGAGCAAGATGAAAGAGGAAAAGTTGTTATGGTTAATAGCTTGTTGGGAACTCCCTTCCAAGAGGCAAGCTTTTGTCATCTCCACGGAATTTGAGGGCAGTTGGACAATTTGCAAGGATATTCTCACCTGTTCTTTAAGGTCCCTTTCCTCCAGTAAGAGAATGGCTAGGGGCTATGGGATAATCTTAAGCAGCTACTGTTGCTTTTTTGTTGTTGTTTTGCTTATGCAAGTGATCATTTATTTTTTAGGAGTGATTTGGAGGAAGAGTATGAGGCAAGCTTGTTGTTTTTCTCCAGTGTAACTGATGGTCACCATGCATGGTTGAAAATGGCCTGAGTGCTTTTGTGGCCCTCCACAACATGAGAAACAAAAAGTAGACTCCTTGCCCTTGCAGAATTCTAGCAGTTAAAAATCAGAGTGATTTCTGATCCCTCTAGGTGGCCTCTGGAACAAAGGAGGGCAGGAAGCAGCCTGCTATGTCCATGTTTTCATTGGGCACTAACATGGTGTGGTAAAGGTAGTTTATCCTTGAAGACAAATGTGCCTGTCTTGTATCATATACAAGAGAAATCAGTTTTGAAGTTGCTGTCCATAGCCCTGGTGTCAAAGAACTAGAACTTAATATGACATTTAGGGGGCCAGCATGACTGATCCTCTTAGAGTTTTGAAGCCATGCTCACAGCTTCTGAGCTCCCTCAGTCACCAAAGATGTGAAGTGTGATTGCTCTCTCTCTTCTGAAGCTTAGGAAACTAGATGATGCAATAGAAGACTGCACAAATGCAGTGAAGCTTGATGACACTTACATAAAAGCCTACTTGAGAAGAGCTCAGTGGTAAGTGCCTCTGGTGGGTGGGGGGAAGAGGGAGTTGCCACTGGCCTCAGGGGAATTGCCTTGTGGATGACGAAGCAGACCCAGAGATGTTGTGAGGTCATTTGGTCCTTCCCCCTGCCTCTAGGTGGGATTGTTCCAGCCCTAGACTATCTTTATAGACCTCCAGCGGAGGAGATTGCACAAGCTCCCTCAGTCTCCCATGCCTGTGTCTAACGCCCCTCACGGTCAGTAAGTTTCCTCTGATGCCTGACCCAAATGCCTTTTGTTAAAGTTTAAATCCATTTCCTTTGGAGATTTTATTTTGTGTTGTACACTTATGCTCTAACTTGGCACAGTGCTTGACACATAGGTGCTCACTGAGTAAATGTTTTGTTGAATGAATGTATGGTGCTTGGAAGAGAAAGTAACTCTTAGAGACAGTTGAGAGTTGTATTTCATCCTGTTTATTCTGGGTGAGGGAAGACAGTCTTAGAGTTGGAAGAGAGGTAATCCGCCTCAGCCTCCCAGGATAAAGGAACTTCCTTTTGAAATACCCTGGATGGCTACTCTCTGCTTGAATGTTTTGAGTGGAGGGCACTCTGTGTCTGACAGGGTGATTATAAGCCAGGATGTGCCTACTTGTAATGCTCAGATTTGCCCCAGAGTCAGGGTGCTCCCTGGCATAGTTGCTCCTCTCACTCTTAGACCCGCCAGCTGATTTTCTCCAGATAGGAACAGGGCTAGGAGAAACCTTTCTGAGAAATCCACCTCTTCTGATTTCAGATGATTCTCTAGGTGGAGAAGAACTTTCCATCTTTAAAGTTCTTAAAGAAGACGTATTTGTTGTATACTAATCCTCCAGCACCTGCTCCACTCCTTATTATAAAATGTCACATCCAAAGAACAGATGCTGTCATTGATGCCTGATGAGCCAGTAGTTTAAGCTTCCTTGGCTCATCAGTGGTACAGAATATCTCATGGACTACCTCCCACTTAGTTTTCTCAAAATTATCTCAATTAAAATAGGAAAACTGCTGCTGTGTGTGATGCTTTTTTTGTTTTAAAGTGAATTTCTAAGTTGATGACTAAGTCTGTCCAACAGAAACATACATGGAATTATAACTTCTGAGACTGACTGTCAGTCATTCCAATCTTTGCAAACCACTGGCACACAGAAGCAGAAGCTTTGGAAGACAAAAAGAGCACCCTTTGATTCAGCCAAAGACTGACTTTAACAGATGCAAAATGCTATATACATGAAGGTGTTTACTGCAATTTTATCTATAATAGCAAAAAGAAAAAAAAAAGGCATGGGGAGAATCACCTACATGTCCAGTGGGAAGGGGGTGGTTAGATACTTGATACTGTGTCGACTTAATGGAATGCTCTGTATATGGAATGCCAGGGGATGGAAAGAGAAGAGAAAAATCATTTTGTTTTGTTTTTTGGGGATGGAGTCTCACTATGTCGCTCAGGCTGGAGTGCAGTGGCATCATCTTGGCTCACTGCAACCTCCACCTCCTGAGTTCAAGCGAGTTTCCTGCTTCAGCCTCCGAAGTAGCTGGGATTACCGGCACATGCCACCACACCCAGCTAATTTTTGTATTTTTAGTGGAGATGGTGTTTCATCGTGTTGGCCAGGCTGTTCTCAAACTCCTGATTGCAAGTGATCTGCCTGTCTTGGCCTCCTAGAATTCTGGAATTACAGACAGGCATGAGCCACCATGCCCGGCCCCTTTTTTTTTTTTTTTTTTTTAAAGCAAGCTCCCAGCCAACACCATAGAAAATTCTTGATTTCTTGAAGGATAATTGGATGGAGGATTATTTTCTTCTTTGTTTATGTACAAGAAACAAAAATAAGGAATTGCTTTGATCAGACAACTTCTTATCTTTGTGGTAGAAACAGAACTGCCCTTCTTGGAGTGGCTCTGCCTCTGAGATCACTACAGGGGAGACAGCATACCCCGTTCAGCTGGCTGAGTATTTGGCAACAATCTCCTGAAGCAGCTGGAATTGACAAGAAGTACTGGAGATTAGCTCGGGCCAAACTCTTACCTCTGGCCTGACCACTGCTGCAGTGTGCCTCAACTTACCCCTAAAGTTGGGGAGATGCCACCCGCACATCTTTGCTACACATGCCATCATGAACTAGAGTTCACCCTTCCTCCCTAAAGCCCTATTTACTTTTCTACTTCAACTTTAAAACAAAATTAAAATGTTGAGGATATCCCTGAATTTTAAAAAGCATGAAGTAAAAATGCAAATTAGTATGGTTTGTTTAATTCATTACATATAGACCTAAAGAAAGTTCATCAGGGTTAATCGTTTGTCACCTCATTCTATACCCAGGGCTATCAGCTATCAGTTTTCCTTTTTTTTTTTTTTAATTCAGGATCCAGCTCTGTCACCCAGTCTGGAGTGCAGTATCAAAGTATCAATTTTCTCTTACTTCAAATTATATTACATTTTATTCTGTAAATTGATTCTGAACTCCTAATGTAATATTTATGTCCTGTGTTTGCAGGCCATTGGTTTTTTTAAAGTCATAAATCAAAATGGTACCAGAAAATCAAATATGCCAAAGATATTGGGCCTCTCTTTTGCTAGCCACATTGGTAGCACTCTCCTGCCCTGGCCTGTAAGCTGGTGGGGATCTGTGATATTTGTGAAAATGGGCTTGTGCCGGGCGCGGTGGCTCACGCCTATAATCCCAGCACTTTGGGAGGCCAAGGCAGGCAGATCACGAGGTCCGGAGTTCGAGACCAGCCTGGCCAACATGGTGAAACCCCATCTCTACTAAAAATACCAAAAATTAGCTGGGCATGGTGGCACACGCCTGAAATCCCAGCTACTCAGGAGGCTGAGGCAGGATAATCACTTGAACCCTGGAGGTGGAGGTTGCAGTGAGTGGAGATCGTGCCATTGGACTCCAGCCTGGGTAACAGAGCAAGACTCCGTCTCAAAAAAAAAAGAGAGAGAGAGAAAGAAACGGCTTGGGTGGTAGCAGTGTAAGAAACTGAATCTCTGTTGTTCAGCAGCTAGCTGTACTGCATGATCACTTTCCCTTCCCCAGCTGACAGTGGCTGTCTCTGGAACTCCTACCACAGCCTTTAATTGGTAGGCCAGCCTTGGTGCCAGTGATTTTATCTGGGCATGGAAAATGCCACTTGCTTCTGTGGAAGAGACACTTAAAAGATCTGGCAGTTGGCCAGGCACGGTGGCTCACATCTGTAATCCCAACACTCTGGGAGGCCGAGGCAGGCAGATCACAAGGTGTATTAAAAAAAGTACGAAAAATTAGCCGGGCATGGTGGCGGGTGCCTGTAGTCCCAGCTTTCAGGAGGCTGAGGCAGGAGAATGGCATGAACCTGGGAGGCGAAGCTTGGAGTGAGCCGAGATCGCACCACTGCACTCCAGCCTGAGTGACAGAGCGAGACTCCATCTCAACAACAACAACAAAAAAGATCTGGCAATCATCCTATCAAGCTTGATTCCTCCAATCTTGGGCCAAGGGCCCTTCCTTTCTTTTGTGCTACCGAAATAAAAGCTAACCTGTGTTTAGAATTCCCTTTTCTGTCTCGTTCACCTGCGTCTGTCATTGATTGGTGTTAGTGGAGGGATTTGCCAGCAGCCACCACGTTGAACTTGATCCTTTTAGTGACTCACTAATCCCACTTCTACTCTGGATTGTAGCTAGTCCTGCATGTTTATGGCACTATAGGTTTCAAAGCTCTTTCATACCCATTTATTCACTTGATAATTTTTCTCTTGTGTGTTTCAACCCAAAGTAATCAAGTAGATCCCTTCACATTGCCTTTTCTAAGGCAGTCCAGTACCTTTTAGGTGGCTCTGTGTCAGAAGGAACTTTTTCCTCTTGATTACTTTCTGCTCAAAGCTGAACATCACTTTGCTGGTGGGTGCAAGTGCCATGCGGCCTCTATTTCCTCGAGGACTCGATAGCTAATTTTCTCTCACTGCTAGATTAAGGGCTCCTGTTTCAGAAGCATCTTACCAAAAGTGTGTGTCTCTTGCTTGAGCCATGCCTCTTGTCTTAGAGTGATCCTGAGAACCATTGCTGTTTATGTCTGAGTGCTATATTGCCTTGTATTTCCTTCTCAGTTACATGGACACAGAACAGTATGAAGAAGCAGTACGAGACTATGAAAAAGTGTATCAGACGGAGAAAACAAAAGGTAAGTTTAAAAGCATTTGTTTTTCAGGGAACTGTGTGGAATTCTTTGTAGGCCATAAATCTGTACACAAGGTAGTTTGACTCAGGTATAAGGGGATGTACCTAGAACTTATTTGATCACCAGCCAGAAAGAAGTGAACAAAGGATGGGTGCGGTGGCTCATGCCTGTAATCCCAGCACTTTGGGAGGCTGAGGCGGGCGGATCACCTGAGATCAGGAGTTTGAGACCAGCCTGGCCAACATGGCGAAACCCCGCCTCTACTAAAAATACAAAAATTAGCGGGTATGGTGGTATACGCCTGTAATCCCAGCCACTCAGGAGGCTGCGGCACGAGAATTCTTTGAACCCGGGAGGCGGAGGTTGCAGTGAGCTAAGATTGCTTGACTGTACTCCAGCCTGGGCCACAGAGCGAGACTTCATCTCAAAAACAAAAAGAAAAAAATAGTGAACAGAGATCCTGGGTTGGGGCACACGGCACCTATTTTCTGGTTCCAGATCCTCCCTGTCATTTTCATTTCCTTTTTTGTGTGGTGAGGCTAAAGTGAGGAACCTAAGTCTAGGTAGATTTTCTTTTTTCTTTTTTTTTTTAAGACAGAGTCCGGCTCTGTCACCCAGGCTGGAGTGCAATGGCGTCATCATAGCTAACTACTACAACCTTTGCCTCCCAGGTTCAAACAATTCTCCTGCCTCAGCCTCTCGAATAACTGGGATTACAGGCACATGGCACCACGCCCGGCTAATTTTTTGTATTTTTAGTAGGGGTGGGGTTTCCCCATGTTGGACAGGCTAGTCTCAAACTCCTGACTTCGGGTGATCCGCCCATCTCGGCCTCCCAGAGTGCTGGGATTACAGGCATGAGCCACTGTGCCTGGCCGAGTAGATTTTTTTTTCTAATCTCCAGAAGAAAGCGCTGTAAAAGTCCCTGGCATGGTTAACAAGGCCTGTAACTCCCAGGCAGCTGGGCTGAGACCTGGGGAGGGAAACAGCAGAGTCAGGTTTGTCCACTGATGCCAGGTGTCTTCCTCTAGAACACAAACAGCTCCTAAAAAATGCACAGCTGGAACTGAAGAAGAGTAAGAGGAAAGATTACTACAAGATTCTGGGAGTGGACAAGAATGCCTCTGAGGACGAGATCAAGAAAGCTTATCGGAAACGGGCCTTGATGCACCATCCAGGTAGAGTAGGTGGGGGCAGTGGGCTCAGTGGGAAGAACCTGCAGGGCAGGCCAACTGCCAGACTTGGTCCAGAGGTGACACCTTGGAGAGGTTCTTCACCTGAGAATAAGGTGTTGCAGATTTGTGTACCCTCCAAATTTTGGGAAATGCCAAATTCCAAAATCAGACATAAAGTGGTTTTTCTCTTAAATTTTGTTTTCTTGAAACTTTGATTTCCTCTGAGTTGTTATTTTCCTCCCCACTTTAGATCGGCATAGTGGAGCCAGTGCTGAGGTTCAGAAGGAGGAGGAGAAGAAGTTCAAGGAAGTTGGAGAAGCCTTTACTATCCTCTCTGATCCCAAGAAAAAGACTCGCTATGACAGTGGACAGGACCTAGATGAGGAGGGCATGAATATGGGTGGTGAGTTGGCTGGGGCAGCCTGGGGTGAATTTGACAGCCGTAGAATGTTAGAATTTTTTCCAAAGATGCTCCAGAGGGAGAGTCTGTTTGGGCCAAATCTGATCCCTGGTCCAAACGGTAATAGACATGGAGTCAAACAAATGCAGTCAAGTGTGGCAGATTCACAGTGTGCAGTGAGCTCTGAGGAGGCGAGCACACTAGCAAGGGAAGGCTTGGAAGTGCAGAAAAGCATGGCCCCATGGCTCATGCCTATAATCCCAGCACTTTGGGAGGCCGAGGCGAGCAGATCACTTGAGATCAGGAGTTCAAGACCAGCCTGACCAACATGGTGAAACCCTGTCTCTACTAAAAATACAAAAATTAGGCCGGGTGTGGTGGCTCATGCCTGTAATCCTACCACTTTGGGAGGCCAAAGCAGGTGGATCACCAGAGGTCAGGAGTTTGAGTCCAGCCTGGCCAACATGGTGAAACTTCGTCTTTACTAAAACACAAAAATTAGCCAGGTGTGGTGGCAGGTGCCTGTAATCCCAGCTACTTGGGAAGCCGAGGCATGAGAATCACTTGAACCCTGGAGGCAGGGGTTGCAGTCAGCTGAGATCGTGCCACTGTGCTCCAGCCTAAACGACAGAGCAAGATTTTGTCTCAATTTAAAAAAATAAGAAAGAAAAAAGAAAAATTAGCCAGGTGTGGTGGCGCATGCCTGTAATCCCAGCTACTTGAGTCTGGGAGGTGGAGGTTGCCGTGAGCCAAGATAGCGCCACTGCATTCCAGCATGGGCAACAGAGCGAGACTCCATCGTTCCCCCCTCAAAAAAGCAAAGCATGGTCCCTTTGGGGATCTGCAGGGGGTTCGGTCTAGGAAAATAAAGGGATAGGGTGCTAGAGGCAAGTGGTGGTGGAAGGCCAGCAAGTAGCTGGATCAGAGCTCAGCGGCCATGAGGGCTGTATGTGGTAAGGAATATGGGCATTTTCCTATTATCTGGAAGTTCTTCTTTACCCACTGCAAAGTGTATGCTGACATTTATGTGTGTCATACATTCCTATAAACACTCACAGATTTTAATTTCCCAAAAGACTTAGCATGATATAAAGCACAGCTATTGTCAATCTTGTTGCTCACTGTGGGCTGTCAGAGATAAGAAGCCCTGACCTGTGAGCCAGGCACGGTGGCTCACGCCTGTAATCCCAGCATTTTGGGAGGCCAAGGTGGGCGGATCACCTGAGCTCAGGAGTTCGAGACCACCCTGGGCAACATATAAAATACAAAAAAAATTGTACTCTCTTCTAAAATACAAAAAATTAGCTGAGCATGGTGGCGCATGCCTGTGGTCCAAGCTACTCAGGAAACTGAGGCACAAAAATCTCTTGAGCCCAGGAGGCAGAGGTTGCAGTGAGCCGAGATTGCGCCACTGTACTCCAGCTTGGGCTACAGAGTGAGACTCCATCTCAAAAATTAATTAATTAATTCAGTCAGTCAGTCTTCACTATAAGTTGTCTGCCCAAAAATTTGCCGGGCATGGTGGCTCACGCCTGTAATCCCAGCACTTTGGAAGAACAAGGCAGGCGGATCACAAGGTCAAGACCAACCTGCCCAACATGGTGAAACCCCATCTCTACTAAAAATAAAAAAATTAGCTGGGCATGGTGTCGCACGCCTGTAGTCCTAGCTACTTGGGAGGCTGAGGCAGGAGAATCGCTTGAACCCGGGAGGTGGAGGCTACAGTGAGCCGAGATTGCGCCATTGCACTCCAGCCTGGCAACAGAGCAAGACTCGTCTCAAAAAAGAGAGGCCCTGACCTGTGAACGGTGCACAGACCTACCATCTCTTCCACTAAGAAAAACTCGGTTCACTGCAACCTTTGCCTCCCGGGTTCAAGCAGTTCTCCTGCCTCAGCCTCCTGAGTAGATGGGATTACAGACACCCACCCCCCATGCCTAGCTAATTTTTGTATTTTTAGTAGAGACGGGGTTTCACCATGTTGGCCAGGCTGGTCTTGAACTCCTGACCACAAGTGATCTGCTGGCCTTGGCCTCCCAAAGTGCTGGGATTATAGGCGTGAGCCACTGTGCCTGGCCTTCTATTGCAATTTATTTATTTGTTTATTTTTTTTATGTTTTTGAGACAGGGTCTCACTCTGTCGCCCAGGCTGGAGTGCAGTGGTGCAATCTCAGCTCACAGCAATCTCTACCTCCCGGGTTCAAGAAATTCTCCTACCTCAGCCTCCTGAGTAGCTGGGATTACAGGCACCTGCCACCACACCCGGCTAATTTTTATATTTTTAGTAGAGACGGGGTTTCACCACATTGGCCAGGCTGGTCTCAAACTCCTGACCTCATGTGATCCGCCCACCTTGGCCTCCCAAAGTGTTGGGATGACAGGTGTGAGCCACCGCACCCAGCCAGAATTTAAAATAAGAATGATGGTACTCCAGTTCAGTGTGGGGGGAATTTGTGTTTAATAAACCTAGGTTCACCATAATAAACATGTTCCTCTGCCCAGCAGTTAAGAAGAGCTATAAGCAGTCAAAAGCTAGTGAAGAGTCTTTGTTTTGTTTTGAGACGGAGTCTCGCTCTGTTGCACGGGCTGGAGTGCAGTGGCACGATCTCGGCTCACTGCAAGCTCTGCTTCCTAGGTTCACGCCATTCTCCTGCTTCAGCCTCCTGAGTAGCTGGGACTATAGGCGCCTGCCACCACGCCTGGCTAATTTTTGGGGTTTTAGTAGAGACAGGGTTTCACTTTGTTAGCCAGGATGATCTCGATCTCCTGACTTCGTGATCCGCCCGCCTTGGACTTCCAAAGTGTTGGGATTACAGGTGTGAGCCACCACGCCCGGCCGTGAAGAGTTTTAAGTAGGGGCACTGTGGACCAGATTTTGGCTCTGGAAATATATTTGTGATAGAGGTGAGGAGGTGGTGGTTGGAGGGAGTAAGGAGGATGGAGATGGAAGGAAGACAAAAGGTAGGAAAGGATTGGAGGGCACAGTCAGGAGTTAGTGGTAGACTCAGCAGGAGTTGGTTGCTATTCAGATGTGTTGGGGAGAGTGACAGCCATAGCTGACTCTTGGGGTCATTCACTAAGCAGGGGAGGCCCAGGAAGATACGCAGATGCAAGCAGAGAAACTCACTCTGGGCACAAGGTGGCTGTGGGATCATCTGGTGGGGATCAGTCCTTCTGTGTAGCTTGGGAAGTCAGTCAGGGATGGGGCCATCAGACATGCTGTGGCCTCGCAAAAGTGCACAGTCAGTCAGGCAGGAGTTGGATTTTCCAGTTCTGCTGCTTTCGCTGCCATGTGATCATGGGCAAGTTACTTGAACTACCTACACATGTTTTGTTGAGTATTAGTTGGGAATGATACTTACCCTGACAAATCATTACTAGGATTAACTAATGTAATGTATGCAAAGTACCCAGTACCTTGCACCTAGTAGGTGTTTTTGTTGGTTTGTTGTTGTTGTTATTGAAACAAGAGTCTCGCTCTGTCACCCAGGCTGGGGTGCAGTGTTGTGATCATAGCTTACTGCAGCCTCGAACTCCTGGGCTCAAGCAATCCTCCCACCTCAGACTCCCAAAGCGCTGGGATTGTAAGTGTGAGCCACCATGCCCAGCTAATAAACCATAGCTTTTTTTCTAGCCTAGAGTCTACAGAGTAAAAGACATGGAATCAAATACGGTAAATCCTAGATCTTGTTCTTATATTTATTTTTGGTAACATTTAAGTGACACATTTTATCCTTTTTAGTAGCCGCTCCAGCATTATAGGGAAACAGAGTATGGGAAAGTCTTGTGTAAGTGCAAATGGCATTCCATTTGTTGAGAAAACAGCCCAGCGAAGCAAGCTGAAGCGGAGAAAGCTCTCCTTTGGGGCAGCACTTGGAAGGAGAAGGGAACATGTCTTAGGAGTGGGATCAGGTAGCATGTTTTGCACGGGGTGGGGCAGGTTGGCTCACCTGCAGTCTGAAGTGTTGGGAAAGGAGGGAGTGAGACTCTCCAGGAAAGCTTTGGAGATCTGTTCTCAGTGTCATCAGTTCTCTTCAAACATTTCTAATTTTTCACCTTTTCTTCCCTTCCATGTTACTTGCCTTGCTCTACAGATTTTGATCCAAACAATATCTTCAAGGCTTTCTTCGGCGGTCCTGGAGGCTTCAGCTTTGAAGGTAGGTGGGCCTGCTGTTGCTGGGAGTTCCCAGATCACAGGCCAACACACTCACTGCCACTTAGGCAGCTCTTCGGGAGTCAGCGGGGCCATGAGAGGGGGCGGCTGAATTCTCATCTAGCATGGCATCTATCCACTCGGCTGTTGCTAAGGATGAAGACAGGAAGGCACCCCTTGCCTTGGGACCTTTAGCCACTGCATCTCTGCAGGGTCAGGGGGCATCTCTGACTGCCTACTACCGAGGCTTCTCTACAAGAGCAAAGGTGTTTAGAAGCTGCCCACGTATAATATGGTCACCTGCTCCTTCTTGCACCCCAAAACAGCCTGAGCTGTTTGATACCCATAGAGTTTCTGTCTGCGTTTGAGTTTGAAGCAGCCCTTGAAAACTTTTCCATAATCAGAGCAAAGTGATCTTCCCTAGAAAATCCAGAGCCAACTACCAAGCCCTTCTTTTCTCTTTCAGCATCTGGTCCAGGGAGTTTCTTTTTTCAATTTGGCTAATGAAGGGCAACCACCCAGAACCCAGAAAATGCAGATTCACTCAGTTTAATCTTGAATGTGGAAACAGTTCACCTCCTCCCTTCATCACGTCTCCATGTACTTAGAGCAGTTTCGTTTTCTCAGTTGGATGCCCTGTGTCTCTGTGAGTGGGGTGGAGCAAAGGGAACCAATGCCGAAGACCGCGGGCAGGGGAGGGAGGCGGGGGTGGACAGGGAGGCAGCTTGTGAATTTTTGTTTTACTGTTTAACTTTATTAAAAAAGAAAAAAAAAAAGAAGAGAATAAAATGTTTTGACCCTTTCTGGCCCTTTGCTCTGGCATCTGCTTTGTCTCCATAGTCTGTGAGCCAGAGCTGAGCCCGACCTGGACTTGGGGTGCAGCAAGCTGCCACAGGTAGGCTGTGAGCACCGAGCCTAGTGGCAGGTGGGGCACTCTGCCTCTCCCAGACCTGTCCCGCATGTGAGTGCTAGGCAGGCCCTGGCTGTGCCGCTGGGCCCAGCCTGACATCAGTCACGAAGAAGCGAGTTCAGAAAGCATGCTCACCTTACAGTGGGGCCCCAGAAATCACTAGAAGCTGTGTGCGTCCAAAGCTCAGGTGGGTACTGACCTAGACAGGGCAGTTTACTTACAAAGGCTCTCTCAGTTCCTGTTGCAGTGTGGGTTCGAGGGAGATGGTAGACAGAGATAAAACCCTGCCTCTTGACCCCCAGACCTGTTTGAAGTGGGACGGGTGGCTCCAGAGCTCTGGTCTGGCCACTCACTATTTTTAGCAAAAGCCCCTGGCCTTCTCTGCTCCCTTTCTGCATGCAGGAGACACGCTGCTCACGGATGCAGCGGCATGCACCATGCTGTCCTGTCAAGCATGGTGTTCAATGTGAGTAGCCTTCCTAGGAGCTCTAGACAGAGACTTGAAGCTCTAGCTGAAGCTCAGAGATGGCCAGGGACAGGCCTTGACCTAGAAAGGTAACTTAGGATTTCTCTTCATCTGAGCTCCTGCCCCTTTCTTTCAAGTCTTCCCCGGCTGGTGCCTTAGCCATGGTGAAATGATGCCTGAGTCAGGCCTGGGAAGTTTCCCTTGTGGCTGACTAGGCCTCTGATGGCCTGGAAGGGAATCAAATGTTAGGTCTTCCCTGGTGCTTGAAGTTGCAGTGACCTACAGGTGGCCTTCCCTAGAGAACTGGGAGAAACCCATACCAGGAGCTTCAGGTCTTACTGAGATCTTTCTGATCCAGTGGGCTGGGGACACCTGTGGGCCTGGTGCCCTGGTTAATGGGGGATGAGAGGCTTTTGTGCTCCATGTCCCTCATACCCAGCCAACCCCCACCTTCTGTATGAGTCTGAGGCCAGCCTCTGCTTTCTGCCTCCTCATGAAAGCCAACACTGTTCAGCTGCCCAACCTCACCACAGCTGTGCCCGGCCAGCAGAGGGGAGACAGGACCGATGGCCCCAAGCTGTGGGACAAAGCCAGTCCTAATACACCCAGCCCTAGGGAAGACTGAGCTGGGCACAGAAGGGTAAGAGAGACTGCACACAGCTAGGATTAACATGATTTATTTCATTATCAGTCTTACAAGTTGCTGAGGTTGGGCAAAGCCAGGATAGTAACTTAAATCCAAAGTACTTTTGTTGAGTGACAACCTGATTAGCAAGGCCCTGTTACTGAACAGAGGGCAGTGGAGGGCACCCCAGGAACCACAGCACATAGACCAGTGTTAGAAACCCCTTCCCAGAAGCAACCGGTGGGACTTGGCCCTTACCAGCCAGGGGTCTACTCCATTGGCTCTTGGTGCCCACCAGCCCCCGTTAGAGGAGGCCCAGAGGCCTCCAGAGGCACCATGGAGGCAAAATGGGCTGGGTAGAGAGCAGGACTGGAGCTTCCTCACTAGGGTGCTGCCTCTGGCCTCGATCTCCCCATCTACACAGCGGAGTCACGCCACTGGAAAGGACGGCCAGTCCAGCCCCTTCCTGGAGTGGGGCCCCCAGCCAGCGGGGATGTGGTGGCTGCTTAACTGTTCTGCTTTCTTCCCTAGTTATCAAACTGTTACCTAGTTATGGTGTGCAGGGGAGGGGCAGGGACTTAGGACCAAAGGTGGGCGGTAAGCTCCTTTTTCTACCCTGGTAAATAGCCCCAGCCTTCTTGGGGCTATGCTGATTAAGAAATGGGATCACTCAGGAGGATGGCTTAAGCCCAGGAGTTTGAGGCTGCAGTGAGCCATGATCGCACCACTGCACTCCAGCTTGGGAAACAGCAGGACCCTGTCTCTAAAAACAAAGAAGAAAGACAAGGAGATGGAATCAAAGCCCAGAGGTCCTCCCTTTCTCAAAGCCACCACTAGTTCTCTGTGACCATGGAAAACTACCCTCAGCCCCATTGCCTTTTGCCTCTGGTCAGTGGGTTTTGCGGGGTTCTGAGGTGTCTCCCCACTCGCCCAGCTCTGGGCAGAGCAGCTGGGCTGGGCTGGGGCTGAGCTAACTAGAACCTGGAAGCAGGGCTTGGGGTTCTGGCTGTGGCCCCATTCCTGGCTTGGTCCAGCCTTGTCAGCTTTGGTCCAGGTTCCTGAATGGTGCCTCCCCGCCCACCTTGTGTTGGGAGTGTGAGCATTAGAGGGGAAGAGGGCGGACAGGAAGGGAGGGTCAGTTATTTTACAAGTTTTTAAAAAGTTATAGGTAAGTTAACTTTGAGTAAAAAAAAAAAAAAAAATCACAAAACAAGGATCAAGCAGAGGGCACGTTTCCCTCTCCTCCCCTTCCCTTCTAGGGGCATACGTGGTGGTGAGAACACTCATATGATGGTGCAGGACGGCAAGGCACCCCCCTTCCGGCTGCCTTGCGTGGACACGGGTTTGCCTTTTCCGTAGTACCCCGTGAAGATGGCCCTGACCTCCATGTTCTTGGCCAGGTTCAGCATCCAGCGCCCATTGCCCAAGGAATAGAGCTTGCCCCGGCTTAGCTCGCCCACCTCCTCGCCTCGGCTGCCCCCCTTCTCCTGCCGCAGAATCTCTAAGAGGTCAAGGCCTGTCTGCACGGCCTCTACGTCAGCTGCGCAGCCGAGGGTGATATGGGCGCGGCTCCCCCGCGGCAGGTTATCAGTGGGTGACAGCTTGTCCACATCACTCGGCCACAACTGCAGCTGCTGCTCACTCAACTCCACCCGGGCCCCAGTCGTCTTGGGTGTCACAAAGAGGGCAGAGATGGTCAGTGTGAAGGCCTTGGAGTAAGATTTCTTTACCACCTGGGGAGAGTGAGAAAGAGGGGCCCAAGCTAGAGATGGTGGGCTCTTGAGCAACAGCTGACCCAGGGAGGGTCCCTCCTGGAGGAGAGGAGGGGAAGTCTAACAGAAGTGAGCACAGCTGAGCAGGGGTCAGGTATAGGCCCAGCATCCACTAACACCTGTGGCACGCACCTTCCCCAGGCGCTCCAGGCTCAAGTGAGAAACTCGAAGGCACTCAGACAGGGCCACATGGGGAGAGCCGGACTTCCTGAGGGAGCCCAGCTCCCTGCACACTTGCTTCCGGCCTCAACAGGCTGGCTGACCTCTCGGTGCCTTGGCTTCGTCACCCGTAAAACAGGGAGAACCAGAGCCTACTTCAGAGTTAATGTGGTTATGGGAGTGACTAGGTGAGCCCACAAGGGTGTCCGCGCACACAGCAGCTGCCACTGTCGGCACTGCTCAGCTTCCCCTGGGACCCAGGCAGCGCCCTGGAGGGCAGGGTGAGGTCAGACTTGCCCTTGATGGAAACCTGCTCTTACACTTTGGCTCCCATCTGATAAGTCTGCTTCTATCTGATTCTTTGAGAAAGCCCATCCCATCTCAGCATAAAAGCTTTTCTATTTTTGCTCACGATCCCTTGTCCCAACAGTGTCTGGCATGAAATGGGTACTTAATAAATCCTAAATGAAGGCATGGTTAGGGATGGCAGCTCAGCTGTTACGTATTCATTCCACTATGCTAGGGTGTTGGAACCACAGGGGTCAACGAAACCTAAACACACCCTCAGGGAGCTTCCATTTGGGAGGACACTCCAGTGAACAGACAAACGGTTGTGCTAATAACCTAGGCAGAGAAGTGGGAGAGTGGACTTGGGGGTGGACACTTGGAGGCTGGAGACTGTGTGGATCTGGGCGACATGCCTGGCATTCAGGGATCACTGTCAGTGGCGGTGTGGGTGTAAGGTGCCAGCTGTGTGGTGCAGAAAGGTCTCATACCCATTAGCCAATAAGCTTCACTATCGTATGAAACTTCCTCACTCTGGGGCCAGGCCAGACCTCAGACCTGGGGACCTCAGTGCACCAGGCTCCCTGGTGGTGAGGGACTCCTAGTCTTTGGAAGGTAAAACAGGCTCAGAGAGGCCAGAGCAGGAGCCCACTGTGGACCAGCATTCTCCATGAATCTGCAGAAGGCGGAGGTGCTTGGGGGCAGGCGAATGCACAGGCTGGCGATACTGCCAGGGCAGGCTCCTTAGAACCTGCGGCTGAGGTCGATGCAACTATGCCTGGGGACAGGGGAGCTAGGAGGAAGAGATGCCATTTTTCTTGAGCTGCCATCTGGTTTTGGTCCCTGCCTGGCCAGTACCCATCTCCAGAAGATGCCGCAGCCCCTTCTCCCGCAACCTCCCAGCTCCCCCATGTGTCCCTGGGGAAGACTCACATCTTGTTGAGCATAATCCTCCGCCCCGGGAGCCTTCCCGTAGTCACAAAACTTGGTTGTGCAGTGCAGCACGCCTGGGGGTCTCTTTCCAAAGTAGGTGACCAAGTCCATCTTCTCCCTGGGCTCATCCCCAGGGACAACTGCCAGGAGAAAAAGGGTGCGGTCAGGGCAGGGGAGCAGGGGCATACTATCACCCGCCACCAGGACCACAGAGGCCCAGCGCAAAACACTCAGACGCTAAGCATCACCTCTCCAGCAACCCACTACAGTTCGTTAGGTGGTCAAACTAATGGCAACTTTAGAGCAATAAAAAGTTAAAATTCTCAGGCCGCGTGCGGTGGCTCACACCTGTAATCCCAGCACTTTGGGAGGCCGAGGTGGGCGGATCACGAGGTCAGGAGTTCAAGACCAGCCTGGCCAAGATGGTGAAACCCTGTCTACTAAAAATACAAAGAAATTAGCCGGGTGTGGTGGTGGGTGCCTGTAATCCCAGCTACTCGGGAGGCTGAGGTAGAGAACTGCTTGAACCCAGGAGGCAGAGGATGCAGCGAGCCGAGATTGTGCCACTGCACTCCAGCCTGGGTGACAGCAAGACTACGTCTCAAAAAAAAAAAGAAAGTTAAAATTCTCTGTCTTTACATTGTATAGATCTTTCCATCTCTTCCCCAAACTCTAAGGCATTTGTAACAGAGGCAGGCAGTACAGGCCAAGGGAATCTAAGATTTACTAGCACCACATCTCAAAGGGGAAGCAAGTCATGGGAAGTGGGGTGGAAAGAAAACAGAGGGCTGGGAACAATGTGGTACAGTGGAAACAGCCAGAACACAGTGAACATCTCAGCCCTGCCGCGTACCAGCCATCGGCCTGGGGCAAGTGACCAACCCTATCTATCAATCCAGCATAACCATTAGGGTGACCATACACCCCAGTGTTCCCAGGACCACCAGGGAACTATCAGTAGTGACCCATTTCACTCAGGGGCCCATCTGGACAGTCACAATGTCACCATCAGTTTAATACACACCTTGCAGGCCAGTTTGGGGGATGAGAGCCTATGGGGGCCCTCCTGGTACAGGAAGGGTCTTGGGCTATAATGGCGTGACATTATGGGGCTGGAAGACGCAAAGGGGAGTGGATTATCTGTGATTTTCATTTCCAGACTCCACACCTGTGGCTGTCTTTGGAGTCACTCGCTTTTTCCTGTTACATTCTGAATTGAGTCCCCGTGAGGATGTCTTGCCCTCTCTAGAGGGGAGGAAGGCCTCTCCTGAGAGCAGCCTTGCTGGTCTATTACATTTCTCCTGCTGTAACCCTGGGCAGAAAAAGATTCCAGTTTTCCTTCACAAATAAAATAGGCTGGACATGGTGACTAGCGCCTGTAATCCTGGCAACTTGGGAGGCCGAGGTAGGTGGATCACTTGAGGTCAGGCGTTTGAGACCAGCCTGGCCAACATGGTGAAACCCTGTCTCTACTAAAAATTTATAAATTAGCGAGGCATGGTGGCAGGTGCCTGTAATCCTAGGTACTTGGGTGGCTGAGACAGGAGAACTGCTTGAACCCCGGAGATGGAGGTTGCAGTAAGCTGAATTGCCCCACTGCACTCCAGCCTGGGCAGCCGAATGAGACTGTCTCAAAATAAATTAAAAAATAAAAATGGGCTGGACATGGTGGCTCACATTTGTAATCCCAGCACTTTGCAAGGCCAAGCGGGGTGGAACACAAGGTCAGGAGTTCAAAACCAGCCTGGTCAAGAGATAGTAGAAAACCTGTCTCTACTAAAAATACAAAAAATAAAAATAAAAATTAGCCAGGCATGGTGGCAGGTGCCTGTATTGCCAGCTACTTAGGAGGCTGAGGCACAGAACTGCTTGAACCCAGGAGGCAGAGGTTACAGTGAGCCAAGATCATGCCACTGCACTCCAGCCTGGGTGAGAGAGAGAGACTCCGTCTCATAAATAAATAAATATTAAAAGCAACGGCCGGGCGCGGTGGCTCACGCCTGTAATCCCAGCACTTTGGGAGGCCGAGATGGGCGGATCATGAGGTCAGGAGATCGAGACCATCCTGGCTAACACAGTGAAACCCCGTCTCTACTAAAAATACAAAAAATGAGCCGGGCGCGGTGGCGGGCGCCTGTAGTTCCAGCTACTCGGGAGGCTGAGGCAGGAGAATGGCGTGAACCCAGAAGGTGGAGCTTGCAGTGAGCCAGGATTGCGCCACTGCACTCCAGCTTGGGCGACAGAGCGAGACTCCGTCTCAAAAATAAATAAATAAATAAAAATAAAAGCAACTTTGAGCAGTAGTCACTCCAGGGCAAAGCCACCAGCTCACAGGTACAGGGCTTGCTCCTGGCCAATGTCACTGCAAGCACCACAGTTCACTGCAGAGTTCAAGTTTAGGAGCTGAGGAGAAAAAAGTTCTCTGAGAACCCATACTGGCACAAATTCCCTGCTTCTGTGCAATATACACAATGTCAACAAACCAGAGTGGGGCTATTTCAGGTATGAAGATCATGTAAAATTGGGGGTGGCTGGGCGCAGTGGCTCACGCCTGTAATCCCAGCACTTTGGGAGGCTGAGGCAAGCAGATCACCTGAGGTCAGGAGTTCGAGACCAGCCTGGCCAACACTGTGAAACCCCATCTCTACTAAAAATACAAAAATTAGCTGGATGTGAGGCCGGGCGCGGTGGCTCAAGCCTGTAATCCCAGCACTTTGGGAGGCCGAGATGGGCGGATCATGAGGTCAGGAGATCGAGACCATCCTGGCTAACACAGTGAAACCCCGTCTCTACTAAAAAATACAAAAAAAAAAAAAACTAGCCGGGCGAGGTGGTGGGCGCCTGTAGTCCCAGCTACTCGGGAGGCTGAGGCAGGAGAATGGCGTAAACCCGGGAGGCGGAGCTTGCAGTGAGCTGAGATCTGGCCATTGCACTCCAGCCTGGGCAGCAGAGCGAGACTCCGTCTCAAAAAAAAAAAAAAAAAAAAAAAAAATTAGCTGGATGTGGTGGCACACACCTGTAGTCCTAGCTACTGGGGAGGCTGAAACAGGAGAATTGCTTGAACCTGGGAGGCAGAGGTTGCAGTGAGCTGAGATAGTGCCACTGCACTCCAGCCTGGGCGACAGAGGGAGACTCTGTGTCAAAATAAATAAATAAATAAATACAATTGGGGGCAACCAGAAATGGCCTAAAGACATATAGATGGATTAGTGGGTGACATTTCTCCAACAGGTCACTGCAGGAGAGCCACCAGGACCCCTCTTTATCCCAAACTTACCACTGGAGCAAAAAGCCCATGCCAAGAGAGAACCCGGCTAGAGTAGCCAGAGTCCAGGGTTCAAGCCCGTAAACCCCACATCCCTCCTGGGCCCGTGTTTTTCCATCTGAAAACAGGTTTTGGCCTAAGTGTGTGTCCTCTGGAGCTGTAAGATGCCACAAACCCATGAGTAAATCAAGTAGCCCAAGGCCTGAGAACCATCCCCAGTGAAGCCACAATAGTCCTAGTTTTAATTTTTTTGTAGCTTACAATTTCATGTCATTATTATTATTTTGGAACATTATTCTGCTGCTAAAAATGAGTTGGAAAACACTGGGCTTGATTCCCCCTCTAAGGTTACATTAGAAGAGGACATATTTCCTGTTACTACAGTTTTTCCGACCTCCAAGAGGGGACGGTGGTCTACATTCAGAGAGAAGAGGGCTAGAAGGAAAGGTGTAGTAGGAGGAAAGGAGCTCTGGGAAGCCCCCGTGTTCCCAATGTGCTGCCAACTCCCCAAGGCTACCACTGGGACACACTGCTTGCCCCTGCCCGCTCTGAGGTGAGCCTTTCTCTGCCTCCTGCTGCTTCGTGCCCCACCCTATGGTCCTATGCCCACAGCGCCCTGTGCCCAGCAAGGTAGGCTTATGAATAAGGCCCCACCCTGCCACCTACATTGTCGCAGCTCCTTCTTGAAGGCCTTGTGGTTCCCCAGCTCTTCCAGGAAGACCTGGCCGGCTTTGCGGAGGATCTCGGAGCTCTTCTTGGACAGGAACCAGCCGAAGTAGAGCGGCAGGAAGTCCTTCTCCAGCCCAGGCTTCAGCTTCTTCAGGTCATCAGCCGACAGCTGCCACTGGTTCTTCTCCTTGAGCTGGGCACAGTCCAGCCGCCACGCCGTCTTGGGCTCCACCAGCACCACCTGGTACTGGTACTGGTCGGCCATTTCAAAGAGCTGCTCCAGCCGTTCCCGCTCGTGGTTGGTGTCATCTAGCACAAGAATTCTGATATCCCGGCGGCGGCAGTAGGCAGCCAGGTCCTCATCGAGCCGCTTGTACTCCTCGGAGAAGGCTCCTCGAGCGCCGGGGGTGATCTTGTAAGCGTCGGCCGACACCATCTTGGTGCCATCACGGTACTTGTCCACGATGGCCCGTGCCAGCGTGGACTTGCCGCTTCCTGGCAGGCCGCGCAAGATAAAGAGCGTCTTGCACTCTTGCAGCGTGGCCACCGTGTCCTCATCCTGAAGGAAGGGAAACTGCAGCTCAGGCTTGTCCTTGGCCCCTGAGGATGACATCTTGCGGAAGAAGATCTTGGGCAGGAATGTGTGGCTTTTTCGGGAGAAGCCTCTGTTCTGTGTAAGGAGGGGAAGAGATGTTAGCCCAGGTCATTCGCGGGCTCCCCGCTGGCCTTACCCCTAGTCCCTAGACTGGGTGTGGGTGCCTTCCCAAGCAGCGCAGTGCTGGACCCTCTGTCCCTTTCGGTCCGGGAGCACCTTTCCGCTTCTGGTCGTGGAGGAGGAAGAGGGAAGCTTGTCTGAAGCTCTCCTAAGCGTGCGCTTTCCCCATTGCTGCCACCTCGGAAAGGAAAACGTGCTGGAGGCATGCAGGGCGTGCCAGGAGCCTGCGGTTCTGGGATTGGCCTCACTCTTATATGCTTGGCACCTACTAAGGACGTCCTCTTTGGAGGTGGGGGTCTCTGTGTCTGGGCCAAGCCACAGCTGCCACGGCTGAGTGCACAGAGAAGGGTGGGGAGTGGAGAAGGGTTACCCCAAGACTGCCTCCCTTCCCCCAACAATGGCCGCAACAGATAATACTCTCTTGTCTGGCATGCGGGGACAATGGTCCCACAGAAGGGCTGGTGGGGGGCAGGGCAGGAGAGCACTGGACAAAGGCCCTCTTTCACCGAGCCTGCCACCTCCTCCTCTACCCTCTCCCGGCCCCCACAAAGTCGTGGTCTTTGTGCCTGTCCAGGACAAGGCAGCACAGGGCACCTGCAATCAGGATCCAGCTCTGCCCGCCGCTGTGCTGTGTGTCTGAACCGCCTCTCGGAGCCACTTGTTTTCCTGTCTTCTAGAAGCCACAAGAGACGGCAGCTTTTACCGTAAAGGGTCCCCTCCTCTGAACTGGCTCCGCCTCCCGCGCGCACCCGGGCGCGGGGCAGCGGTTCCGCGTGATGAGACGGTCCCGAGTCCCCTACTGAGAAACGCTACCGTTTCCCTCTCCAGCGGCCTCTCCGGCACTCCGAACCCCCCGCCCAGCTTCTTCCAGACCTCAGGGCTGCCCTGAGTACCAAGACAACTGGAAGTCGAGCCCGGAGCCCCGGGTCCTCGTTTGCAAGACGCTTCCTGCCGAGGGGCCCCGACACTAGTTTCCTGCCCCGGTGCTACCCCGTGCCCGGCCCCGCCTGGCCTCTCACCATGATGAGGAGGGGCGCCGCCGTCGCCGCCTCTGTCGGCACCAGCGCTCCGGGGCCGCCCGCCTGCGCGGAGGGACACGGGAGTCCAGCGGTGGCACGACCCGAGCCCGGCCGCTTTACATAGCCCGGGGGCGGAGCGGGCACCCGGGCGGGCTGGGGCGGGCCGTCCCCTCTGCGCGCAGGCGCTGCGAACCGAAACCCGAAACTCCCGCCGCGCGCGGGAACCCCGGCCCGGCCCCGCCCCCTGCGCGCGCCCGCCCCGCCACGGGCACCCACTCCCTGCGCCTGCGAGCTGGACGGCCGCTACCTTTTTCTGTGTGTTGAGGGGTAACTCAGTCGCCCTCCCCGGTCCCGTGGATTAGCAGGAAGTGAGTGAAGCAGGGTCGTGCAAGGTTGGATCCTATCTTTAATTTTTGATATTTTATTCATCATGGACTTTTGCATTAATTAAAAACTTTTTTTTAAACCACATTGGATTAAAGTATTATGCAATTTGCTGGCATCCCGGTAAACTCTGCATCTGAAATGCCTCACTGACCTCGCCGGGCCCTGTGCCAGCCGAAAGTCAGTCTCAGCCCCGACCTTTCCTTCTAGAAGTTGTGGAGACAGACCAGGATGGCAATGGCCAAAGGGACAGATGAGTAACGGAGTGAAATCCTAACATCCTCTGAGGCCAGATGCTCAGCTGCCACCACCTCTGTGAAACCACTGAGAGCTCCGTTGGATTTTTGAGTTTCTTGTACCAAGTGCTGTGCTAAGCACTCAGTCCTCGCAGCAACCCCTGAGGCAGGTATCCCATTGTTCAGAGGAGAAGCCAGCTTGGCGAGCCTGATTTACCTGATTGTGCCACCCAGAGTTGTCAGAGGTGGACTCTGTCTGCCCTCCCAGGCCACTCCCCTATCTTTGGCCTCAGTCCCAGCATTCGCTTAGTTCTGGCTTGGGGCATTCTCCTGCCTGTGCTAGCTGGGGCCACCCCACCACTGTTCCATCCATAATGCCTCCCCGGTGTCCTGCGCACTGGAAGGACTCAGTCAGTCAGGGGTGTCTGGGAAGCACCTCTCCTCCCAGGCCTTCCCCTCTCCTCCTCCCTGTGACTTCTCATTCCCTGAAGCTCCTGTATCTTCACCCTCCTGAAACCCTTTCTTCTTGGCACCTTCTCTCCACGAGGCTCTTCCAAGAATGGGCAGGGGTGAGGAGACAAAGTGACAGACTCAGGGTTTGCAAGAGTGAAAGACACCTATTTAATGGCAAAATAGTGACGGAAAGCAGCACAAGTAAAACCCTCATTTTTCCTATTACAGATAAATCGCTTGAAAATCCAGTTTAATAAGATCCCGTTATCCTTCTGAACACCAACTTCCTGATCCTTATCCCTACCGCTGTCTTCATTCATACTCCTTTTCCATCTCGTTTTCTGTTTTTTTCATTTCTCCTATTTCCCCAAATTGTGTTTTTCCCAGTTCTTCTGGCTCTCTTCTGCCCACTTCTGAAAGTTTATTTAGTTCTTCTGGTTCATGTCTGCTGAACTCTCCTGAGAGTCTTTGGCCTAATTCTCCTGAAGGCCTCCTATAAATTTCTCTTGACTCTCTTCTGCCAGCTTCTAGTAGCTTCCTGCCTGTTTCTCCTGATCTTGTGCCTAATTCTCCTGACAGGCCCTTGGCAACTTCTCCCAAATCGCTTCTGGCTTTTCCTGCTTCCACACTCTGCTTTCCGCTTGCTGTGCTCTGCAGAGCTCCCCCAAAAGCCTCATCGTCCTCATCCGTCTCTCTCTCATCCTCAATATGGTCCCACTGCTTCACCACCTTCTCGGGCTCATCTCTCACTCTCCTCATGTCCTTCTCTGTTATTATTCTATCTTCATACAGTAAAGCTTCTGAAAAATAAGAGAAAAGTGGGAGGAAAGATAAAAGTTTGTTCATGTCAGGCCGGGTGTGGTGGCTCACGCCTGTAATCCTGTACTTCGGGAGGCTGAGGCAGGCAGATCCCTTGAGGCCAGGAGTTCCAGACCAGCCTGGATGACACAGTGAGACCCTGTCTGTACTAAAAATACAAAAATTAGCCAGCCATGGTGGTTGGCGCCTGTAGTCCCAGCTATCTGGAGGCTGAGGCAGAAGAATCGCTTGAGCCCAGGAGGTTGGAGCTGCGGTGAGCCAAAATCGAGCCACTGTACTCCAGCCTGGGTGATAGAGCGAGACCTGTCTCCAAAAAAGGAAAAAAAAAAAAAAAAAGAAACTGTTCATCTCTGTGGAGGCCTGTGCTTTTGAGAGGCAGATGAAAGAAAGGCCCTGAGAATGACTGTTTTTGCTAGCTTTTTAAATTGGTGTTGACAGCACACCTTTCCAAAAGCAGAGAAAGGGAACCATCATTTACTGAGCCCAGCTCCGTCCTGCGCATCACGTGTGAGGACTGTATAGCTTATTCCATCCAGACATCAGGAAAATATGCACTGCCGTTGATTTGAGTTTGCAGTCAAGGGACCTGAGACTGATAGGAAAGAAATCACATGGCCGGGCGGCATGGCTCATGCCTGTAATCCCAACACTTTGGGAGGCGGAGGCGGGTGGGAGGCCAACAAGGTGAAACCCCGTCTCTACTAAAAATACAAAAATAAGCTGGGCGTGGTGGCGGGCGCCTGTAATCCCAGCTACTTGGGAGGCTGAGGCAGGAGAATCGCTTGAACCCAGAAGGCGGAGGTTGCAGTGAGCCAAGATCTTGCCATTGCACTCCAGTCTGGGCAACAAGTGCGAAACTCTGTCTCAAAAAAAAAAAATTAGCCCAGAGTGGTGGCATGAGCCTGTAGTGCCAGCTACTCAGGAGGCTGAGGCAGGAGAATCACTTGAACCTAGGAGGCAGAGGTTGTAGTGAGCCGAGATTGCAGCACTGCACTCCAGATTGGATAACAGAGGGAGACTCTGTTTCAAAAAAAAAAAAAAAAAAAAAAACCTCAGTGGCTCACACCTGTAATCCCAGCACTTTGGGAGGCTGAGGTGGAGGTTGCAGTGAGCCGAGATTGCACCACTGCACTCCAGCCTGGATGACAGAACAAGACTCCGTTTCCAAAAAAAAAGAAAAAGAAATCACACAATGGTCACACTGCAAGTAAGAAATGGCAGAGTCAGAATTTGAACCCAGGACAGTCTGACCCCAGAGAACCTTCTCTTTTCTCTACAAGAAATAGCATAGGTGCTGGCAAACGACAGAAGGGTTTTCTCCAGCATCTTCATTCTGACACTTTCTCTTTGTCCCTGGGAAGCACGTTCATTATTTGTTGGGAGGTTTCCTATGAAAATATAGGAAAAAACATAGGAAAAAAGATAGGGTTCCTATGAAGACATAAGCTGCTAACAAAAAAGTTCAGCTGACAAGTTATTTTACAGGCAAAGGGATCCTTGCTCCTAAATGTTTTGTTTTTTTTTTTTTAATCAGTTATGGAGAAAAGTTACATCCCCTTCTGCATCTCCCTTACATTCTTCTGGCAACCACTAGTTACTGAGGTGTCTGTAGAGGGTCTCGGGTCTCAGGGATCACAGCCCTTTGGAGGTGAAAACAGATGCAATGCTGCCACCTGCTGTTCTGAGAGGGAAGTGCCCGGCAGTTCTCCAGGCACAAGGACGCAGGCCAGGGCAGGGAGACTGGGGTGTTGGCTGCTTCCCTGCAGAGTCTCTCTCCACAGCGGTTGCTCCTGTGGCTTCTCAGAGCAGCTCAAAGGGCATGTGGGGGCGGAGACAGAGCCCTTCTGAGGGGGTCCAGCCACCACAGAACAGGTGCTGGGTAATAAAGGGCTGTCATCTGGCTACTCAGGTGCCCAGAAACCTCCCGCTGCCCTACCTGGACCAGAGAGGATTTCAGCCTTGCAGCCTGGAGGGCTGCAGCCAAGAATCTGCACTGGGCTGTGTCCTCCCAGGCCCCCAGCCCCGGCTCTGTTCACCACAGTCTGGCTGGAGTCAGAGTTCCACAGACCGGGGCAGGAAAAGGCTGTCTGTGTCACTAGAAACAGTGTGGCACGGGCCGACGCATGGGTTCTAGAGCAGATCGCCCAAGACTGAAAACCACTGTAGCCTCTAACCCCTCTGCCTCCATGTCCTCCATAAAGTCAAGCTAATAACACTTCCTTCATAGTGTTCCTCAACGGATACGGATAGGATGAGTCCATGCGCACCAAGCCTCTGGAAGAATGCCTGGCCTGCAGGAAGCATGAATGGGGGTCGGCTACTGCGCTTAACACCCCTGCTCCTCTAGGCCCCTCTCCAGTGGGATAGGGCTGCTCAGCCATCTTCTGCTTCTCCTTCCCTCACTCCCACCCTGCAGGAAAGGAGAGCCCAAAGGCAGGGGCCAAAGGCCTCTTTACTCCCTGGAGACCTTGTGAGAAAGAATGTGGTAAGGCACAGCTGCCAGGCAGCCCCTGCCCCTCGTGTCCCTCTGCACCTGCCCATCACACTGCCGGCCCGAGAGCAGCACCGTAGTGGGGAGAGTGGGGCCCCAAGTCACCCCTCCCTAGCTACATGACTCTGAGAGAGCACTCACCTCACTCAGCCTCCCTTTCCCCCCATAGCACCTACACCTCCTAGCGGGGTAAAGACCAACAAGATCACTCCTGTCTGGTGCTTAACCCAGTGCCCGGCACTCAGTAAGAGCCCCCAAAGGGTAGCTACTGTTATTCCGTCTCTGTGCCTTTGGTCCTGCTGTTCCCTGCTGGAAATGCCTTTCTTCTCCCACCTCTCTCCTGGAAAACTCCTGGGCATCTTTTGGAGTTGGAGGTAGATGATTCTTCCTCGTCGAAGATTCCTCTGCCTCCCCAGAGGAGCCCACGTCCCGTTGCACACACCCTCATGGCAGCACACCTCCACCTCGGTGTAGCACCTGCATGCAGGAGCCCAGCAGCTGACAACTCCACTGGTCAGCCTTGCCCAAAGGGCCATGGGCTCCTCCAGGGCAGGGATGTGCCTCTGTCTCCCCAGAATCTAACACCTTCCAGGTACATGACAAGTGCTCAACATATACTTGATGAATCAGTTGAAGAGAGAAATGAGTGCGCTCTGGGGTCAGATAGTCCAGCCCATGGTGGCCTGAAACCTCACCCTCTACTGCCCCAGAGATAGGCTAGGGCTGCTGGTGGTACTGAAATCAGAATCCATGGTGGGCAGTGCCAAGCTCCCAGACGGGGGAGCTGCTGTCACGTGTGTCTCGGACTAGAGGAAGAGAAAGCAGAGAAAGAATGCTGAAGTTGCCTTTTCAGAGTTCAGGAACTCACCTCCCTCACTCTTTTCTTTGAGATTCTCCATGTAGTTGGTTTTCCTCAATTCTCCGATGATACCCTTGTTGGCATCGTCCAAGGCCTGTGGATGGTAGAGGGAGCTTAACCCGTGTGTTTGGCACCTACACCATTAATTTTCCCCACCCAGATCAATCCCAGAAGGCAGGGCTCTAGTGGGAACCTGCCACCCTTGGTTTCCCTCTGGCCCCTCCGATGACCCCTACCCTCAGGTTAATCTACACCGACTCAGAATGATCCACACCAACTTGTGTCTGAGAGATACACGACTGCGAGTCAGTCAAACGCGTTTCTCTTGGGCTTAGGCATGTATTGGGAGTTGTGTCTATCTACTCATTTCTACCTTTAGATGAACCACCTAAAGTTGCTTTTAGCTTCAGTCAATGCAAAAAGACAATCCAAACCTGCAAGCACTCAGCAAGCCAGCACTGAAGGGACTCAGAAACACACCAAGGCGACAGGACTGCCTTCAGAAGGGCCTTCCAGGATGTCTGCAGTTTCCCCAACTCGAGTGTGCGATCCCTAGAGGCCTGGAGCTCAGCCTGTGAGCCTCTGGAGGGCAGGTCTTGCCTTCTTGCTCATAGCAGGCCCGTGGCTGGCACTGACAGTGTCTCCCGAGCAGCTCCAGGGCCTGGACGCACTCTCTTGTAGTGCTGGTCTGCTCACCCCCGCCCCCGCAACTGTGAACCTTCCTACCTGGAGTTGCCAATCCAGGAGGGTGAGGGGACAGGGGTCTGGTCCCATGAGGAGTCACTGAGGGTCACAGGGACCTTCTCTCTGCCCCTAACCCTTCAAAACCACTGCCTAGCCTTCAAGGTGACCTCAAATCCTCCTTGTTGGAAAGCCTCCAGCTCTGCCTCCCAGCGGAGGCTCTCTCACTCTGAATTCTCCTAGTCCCCTATGGCGCTGGTCATGAACCAGGGTTTGTGCTGTTTTTTTTTTTTTTTTTTTTTTTGGACCGGAGTCTTTGCTCCTGGTCGGCCCAGCTGGAATGCAGTGGCACCATCTCTGCCCTACAAGCTCCCGCCATTCTCCTGCCTCAGCCTCCTGGAGTAGCTGTTTTTTGTGTTTTTTTTGTTTTTTTTTTAAGGAGACAGGGTCTTCCTTATGATGCCATGGCTGGGTCTAGAACTCCTGACCCAAGTGATCGCTCCCCTCGCCTGCCCAAAGTGCTGGGAGGACAGGTGTGAGTCACTGTGTCTGGCCTTTTACTATAATCTTGGTGGGCAGGGACCATGGCGTGTACACCCTTTTGGCTTGGCGCCTGGAGCCAATCTACACTCAGTGAATATTTCCTGAACTGGAACGGCCATGCTCTCTGTCTGCAGGCGATCACACGGAAGTATGTGGCGATGGCACTCTGGCAGGGCTGGCAGTGAGGTGGGTGGCTCTTCGCCTGGAAGGCCAGGGCTGACATGGCGTTATACGATGAGGCGACAATGCTGTGCTAGCGCCTGGGGCTCCTGGCCA